GCTTAAGATGGTTCATTGTATAGCTCTTGCTCCTTCAGGTCCTCAGAAACCAGAGCTCAGGGCTTAGAGATCTGCTTACACCCGACATCACCCATCTGCCAATCCAGCCAACACATCCGCCGTAGCTTTTACTGTATCCCAACAAATCCCACCCAAGAACTTTTCTGCATCAAGCCCTCCATATGCAAAGCTTAGGGCCCGCTCCATTCATCTCTCAGCTATGCAGCCTGAAAATGCTGAAGAGACACCTAAGACCCTCCCTGCGCCCGTAAACACCCCTGACGCTCAGAGCTCCTTCCAGGTAGGGAACTTTGCCGCCATGATCCTCGGCTTTCGCGGGCTGGCTTGAAACTCGGTGTCGGCTGGTGCCCTCGCCGGCTTTCAGCCACAATTCAGGAGCCTCGCTTCTTCGACGCAATCTTGTCTCAAATCCGCGATGGAATCCACAATGTCAGGCATGCCTGAATGCCCCAGATCACAAAGGCTACTCATTGGCCGCTATTGTCGTCACATGCAGCGACAGCATAAAGCTTTGAGATCATTTCTTGCGACCTTGCCTGACAGCCTAGAGCTCGAATTTTCTGACTGGCACCGACCCCGTCTATTATCCCTGCATTTGGCCTGAAAGTGTACTTTTCCTGGCTTTAAAAATCTTCAGGACGAAAGACAGGACTGTTAGGGGAACCCTAATCACATGCGGCTTCGTGTCGAAAGTGACATGGCACGTCTCCCAGTTGGCATCACCGGTGTCCTGTGTTGTAGACGAGCTACTGGCAGCATGGGCAATCACCGCTTCGGGTGCAGCATGTGCACCAACATGACAAGGGCACGCAAGAGACATGGAACCGCAAATTGAAAAGCTGAGCAGGCCCGTTCCGTCTAGAACTCTGAAACCAACTTAGCCTAGAACTCGAGGCGGCTGCAAACGCTTCTGACTAAGGTCCCGGAAACGTTGTACGAAGCACCTGCGGGGAGAAGAGGCAACACTTAGGCTTGGAAATTAACTCGGCTCAAATCGCGTCCCTCAAAACTCAATGCTTCTCAAAAAGCGGCCGACGAGTACATGATGCTTGAACCCCAACGCCCGAACCGCAAATAGAAGTCCTCCGTGATGGTGTGTGGCTGCTCCTTGTTGGCCACAACCTCACCACAGAAGATGATTCAATAGGGGTACTTCAGGGTACTTCGGACTTCGGCTTGGGGTTGGCTTGGACCGACAGTCCAAATCTTTGCGCCTACAGACCGCCAAACGCGATGCAACGCTACCCTGAATTTGAATCGTCGACACCCGACCTTGCCTTGCCAGTGTACGGGGCCTTGGGCGTGAACAGGTTCCAGGGGATCTCCTTGCCATGGACGACCTGAGGTTTGTTAGTTCGGGTTCGAGGGGTTTCATCGGTTTTCTTGAGGTGGGGGGCTCGGCTCGGGGTTTGGCAGGCATGGTGGTTCCAGAGGAAGTTTTTCGCCCTTCTCAGCATTGAAGTCCCTATAAGCACCTGCTCAACAAGGCTCAGCCTACACCCGCGAAGCCATTCGTTCCAAAGTTCTCAATCAACCCCAAAGAAATGCTACACCCTAGAGGTCCCACATCTCTTGAGGAGGAAAACTCGCCTTGACACCCTTCTTCTTGACGGCAGCGGCCCGGCGGCTCACTGAGGACTGCGACCTACAGGTCTGGGTGGAGGCTTGCAGGACACCCATATAACACCCAATGCAAAAACCATATGAAACTAAAACAAGCGAAGAGGACGCTGCAGATGATTGGCGCAGCACGGGTAGTCGTGAACAGCCCCACCACACCGATCAAGCAAGTCCGAAATGCAAGGGGTTCCAACACAGGGAGGCGTCTTCGAACATTCACGACCAGACAGAAATTTGACTCTTGTGTCAAGCAGGGAAACGTTGCAAAATACCCCCACCCCCCCCCCCAAAAAACCTACACCAAACCCATTGGAAGCACGAATATATCCCGACAAGCGCATGCCACATACATGCTGCTGTCCGCGGACATCTCAAGCCCCTAAAACCAGAACCCTCGTACAAGAATCCAAAAACTAGAAGTCGAATCTGGAAGCTCAACCTTGAGCGCACGCCTGCTCGCAGCAAACAGGGCAGCGCTTGACAGGAGTGCTGCGGGCTTCCAGTCCGTTCCGCCTGTGGAATTTGTTGCATGTTATTGGCTAAAGATGACACTTGCTACAAGGAAGGACCTCCTAAGTCGAAGCCAGGAAGATTGGGCGGTTGGGGGCTTTCACTCCACATCGGCAAAAAAGTCTTTTGAGGGTTTTTAGGCCTTTGCCCTGGGTCAACTTTTTGGAAGTTCGAACCTGCTGCTGCACCACGCAGCTGTGGACGCGCCTGCCTCGGCAGCGATGTTATCTCTCTGAGAATTGGGCTCAAGAAGTACATTCAGGGCCCTCTAAGCCTCCGCCTGCTACAGCACCGCAGCCGCCCTGCTCGTCCATCGGATTTGGGGACTTGAGGAAATGTAAAGGGCCCTTTGGGAACTTGGGATTCGCAACATCCGTCGAACCAAGTAAACTTCATGGCAAGATCGGTGCAAAACACAAACTGCTCTTCATCCCGGCGCCCAGGCTGGGAACAACAAGCATGTTCCTTGCAGTTGCCTCGACAAGCCTGCTAACACCTATGCCGCAAAACTTGAACCCAAAGCCCCTGAAGACCCAAGAAAACTGCTGCAACAATCGGTACACCAACTGCCGAGTTCGGCAAGGCCCCGTTCGCGAGCAGCGGTTCCAAGTGATACTAACCCAAACATCCTGAACCCAAAGCCATCCCACCCATATTAGTTTCGTGTCACACCATGTCGACAGTTCCCCCCTCCCCCCTCTCCCCCCCCGGCGGTATCCCCTTTCACGGCCCCACCCCACCCCTAAACCCAAAACCTTCATCCAAAAGCCCAAAAACCGATACCCTTAACCCTTAAACCCCGAAACCCTAGAACCCCTAAGCCCTAAACCCTAAAACCTGCAACCCTAAGCAAACCCTGAAAACCTTATTTTAAACCCCTATGCAAAACCCACAAAGACTTGAAAACCCTAAAGCCCCAAACCCCTCCCCCCTAAACCGCTACACCCTACGGGGGGGCCAGGCCTTGGCGTGGCGGGGCGGGGGTGCGGGAGGACTTGCCGACGCTGCGCCGTCTATGCACACGTGAACATCAGATTCCAAGTTGCGCAAGGGGGGCGGCTGCTGCCGCAGCAGGAGCAACAAAGGCCACCTGCGCCTCGGAACTGGGCATTTAAGTCTCAGGGCCTTAGCTTGGGCTTGGGGTTCATCGGGGTGTCACGAGATTTTAGAGGTTCGAGCATCTTGGGGTCGAGTTTGAGGCTTCGAAGATTCTTCGGACGGCGATGCTAGGGCTGTCGTGCCATCAACGCGCATGACAAACTATTTCAATCCACCCTCGGGCCCTGCCTTTTCAGCAACCTTGAAATGTGAACCTGAACGCCCAAACGCCGGCAACGCCGCCAACCTTGATTCCTGGCAAGCTTCCATGTCTGGAGGCTCGTCTGCAACGGTGGCAAAAATGCAGCTGAAGCCACGAGCGGCAGTGCTGCGAGCTGCAACCCTAAACCTCAAGGAATTGTTTTGTTTTGACTGGGGGGCAGGGGGTTGAGGGGTTCCCTGCAATCTTGCAGCTCTAGTCGCAGAAGCCCACACCAAACAAATCAGTTACTTCGAATAGTGCACGAAACCCTTTCCTGTGCAAGCGCGAGATGTTTCAGCTGCAACTAATCTGCAGCACAACGTGATACCGGCCCGGAAGCTAAAGAAGCCCTCTAAACACGTTCCAGAAACAATTGAGCAATGAGCTCAACTGCATACCATGGCAACGTGCCAATCTGCTTTTTCTCTGCTTGGGGCTTGTCTCTGCTTGGGCTGCTGGACAAACAGCGTCTGAATCAAGCGCCTACCGAACACCTCGATCGGACGCAAGAAATCAGACGATTCAAACAAAATCCCACCCTGCAAAACAGCTCGCCAAGCTCCGGCAGTGCCAGGTGCCCCAGGCTGGGGTGACTGAAGGTTAGGGCACGTCTTGAGCTTTTAGCCTTGTGAGAGTGAGAGCGAGAGCGAGAGAGAGAGAGAGAGAGAGAGAGAGAGAGAGAGAGAGAGAGGGAGAGAGAGCGAGAGGGAGAGAGCGAGGGAAACAAAACAGAAAAACAGAACACGTGTGCAATGAGCCCGAGCCCCTGTTCTGTGCTCAGTTTTGTCAAGTTTGTTTGCTGTAGGAAGCTGCGCAGCATTGCTGTTCTGCGAGTACAACTCGTCGAGCCCTTCCTGGACAAAGCGCTTTGTGGTGCATGGCTCTGCCTCTTTTGAGGTTTGTAAGGCATTCTACTAGACTTTGCTGCCACGCTTTGAGCCTTAGAGTCTCGGTCAGCCTGCGCCGCGGACTAAGGCAGGAAAAAACTGCTTAGCCTCCAGAAAATTGTGGCTTCAGGGTTGGGGTTCTTGCGCTTGACACCTCGGATCTTCAACTTCCACTTGGCACAGCCAGGGGCGGTGAGGCAAGCGTCACTCGGCCCATCCATCCCCATGTCTGCACGGCTGACTGTTTGAGTGTGTGGCCTGCCCCAACACCCTCACTGAGTGGGGCAGTGATTTTGGGTGTGAAGGGTGTAGGTGGGTCTGAGTCTAAGGGTCCTGAGTGCAGACGTGGGCGATCTCTCCGGGCAACCCAGGTGTTCAGCCTGGAATTTTCACAAGAACACACTCATTCCGACGCTCCTTAGAAGAGCCGGAAGGAACATTGAGCAGCTCCCAAACCTTGAAATGCTACGTCCTAAGTTCCGTGAACCTCTCACAAAGGTTTTCAAGGGTTGGGGTGTGCTGCTGCCCCGGGCTGCAAACCCTTGGCGTCGAGCATAACATCTCAAAACAGTCGGTCAACCTGTATCTTCGGGTTTTCAGGTGATTGGGTTGAGGCTTCGGTTAAGGTTCAAGGACTTGGGGTTGAAGGTTTTAAATGGCCGTCACTCGATGATCACATTCTCCAGCTGCAACACGAGCACTTTGGGCTCTGCGTCGGGCGCCAGGAAGCATCCCTGTTCGTGTTTAGGCTTTTCATCAACTGATGTCTGAGGACTGAAGCGCTCAGTCGAGTTCTGCAATCTGCGACAGATGTCTCATGATTATTCTGGGCCCTTAGGGTTTAATGTGACTGCAAGGACCCTTCCCGGTTTTCGGTGACAAAAGGTGCAAATTTCTAGCCCCAAACGCACGAACCCACGCCTCTGGCCTGAGCTCTTTTCAGCCCCATCGATCTGCAACCGCCAAATGAAGTGCAACCCCCGAGCCTTCCACTCCAGGTTCAAAAGCCCTAAGCACCCCTGCACGGCACCCACCTTCGACAGCCGCTGATCCATTCGATTGCCTGAAATCGCATCGAACCACGCCTCCAGTCGAGCAGGTCTGGTGTAGGGGTCTTGGCTTGCATCAAGGCGGCTCGATTTGCGCACACCAAAAGCTTCAGTCCCAAACCCGGAGTAGGGTCTAGATGGGTCTAGACGGTCTAGAGTCAAGGATCAAGGTCTGGGAAAGTCTGACTCCGCGTGACCTGGCCGTCGATTCCCGGCAACGGTCCGGGGCAGTATCCTTGGGGCAAGTGGACACGAGAAGAGTGCGAAACTTCATCTAAGGCATTCTGCCATTTATGCCGATATGTGCTTTGCATATTGAAGGTCAGGCTTGTGGCGGCGTTCATGCTCATGGATGATTTGTGCGTCATACTCCTTCTTTAAGAAGCCCCTCCGAGCCATTTACTTCGCCTTCCCTTTAAGCTTAAACCCAGAAGCTTGATCTCTTTTGCGCAGCGCTTGGCTTTCTCGGACGTTTGGGGCTTGTTTCGTCCTAGAACTGCAAACCGAAACGTCCTTTGCCCCCTCTGCTTTATCGAGGGGGCTTTGACCTGCTGGCAACACACTCATGTGAACCTCTGCTGTGTAAACTCTTCTGATGACTTTTGCGGTTGCGGCATCGGAGCTACAGCATTTGTTGGGATCGGAGGAAAAAGGCTTGTGGTTTAGTTTGGGACTTAGTTGCTGCTTTTCTCGTCATTCGCCTTTCTCCCTGCTTCATTGATTGATGAGTCGCAGCAACAAAGTCCAAGAGCCTACCGGCCGGCTCGTGTGAGCTGTGGCATCATGGTACGCACGGGCCAGAAAAATTCGCTCGACCCCCTCGGAAGCAGGGCCTGTCTCTCCTCCCTAGGTTTGTACCAATGAGATGAGTGGCCTCACGTGCGCAAACGTCGCTGCCTGAGAATGCCTGAGGATTTCAAGCGCTAAAAGACTGCCTTCTTTGGCCCGCTAAAGCAAGCGACCACTGGTTGCGCGTTCTGTAGTCTGCATTCTCGCCCGAAGACTTTGGTTATGACGAAGCTGGACTGCCAATGCTGCAAGGAAAGTAAGAACGACGCGTAATTTAGATTGAGTCTGTGGTGAGAAATCTTGAGTAGCCAAATGGGCCCGTCGGGCATCCAAAAATTGATTTCCCCTGGAAATACTGAGCTCCACCAGAAACTCTGTGAATTCACAGCATCTGTATGCCTTGGCGCGGTGTACGGTTTGTACGTAGACAGAAACACCTGATGCCTCCCAACCCTCAAATCCCTGCAGTTCTTTCGTCAAGTTGCTGAAGTTGGAGGTGGCGCTGCTGTTGGCGTTGTTCAAAAAGACCTCATGTCAAAGAAAGCTTGTAACTTGTAACCATGATGCCCATGCAATGATGCAATTTTCTCTGAAGTACCCTGTGAAGATCCAATCTGGGTCGCCGACCCACGCCTCTCGCGTGCCACCATGGCTGGCACGGGTGAAAATCAATGACTCGGAAGAGAAGAACTTGATCTGGCGAGTGAGCTGCTTAGGGCTTAAACTTTACAGCACGTCCTTGAAGGGCTAAGAGTGTGGGCGGTTTGGGTTTATACAGCGCGCTCGTTCTCAAAAACTGTACATCTTGGTGCGGTGAGGAACAAATAGCACTCACCACTCTCCTCAACCCAGCCTCGGATGCACCCGCACCGATGCTGTTGTCCTTTCGTGCACGGTTGAGCACGGCAAGGAACCTGTACCTGAGCAATAGGATGGCTTTTTGTTGTCACTGTTGAAGAACCGAGGAAAGCTGCGGGCATTAAGGCTTTCAAATTTCAGGGGGCTCGACAAAAAAGTCTTGACGTTTTGGCATTAGGCTGCAAAGCGTTCCCTAGCTAGGCCCCCCTAAACTTTCAATCTCATGCAGGCCTGAAACCAGAAATCAGCAAACTCCTGTTAACCTGCAACCCCCCAACCTTAAATTAAACTGGAGTCGACTCACTGACTCACTCTGTCACTCAAATATCGTTTAAAGCGAATGCTTTTGCGTCAGCTTTCGTGACCCGCTGCCACACAGCTTTCACATCCTCCAGGCACACAAGTGAAGCAGAGTATTGGCAGAAAACACAAAATTTCACATTCAGTTCAGTGCTTTGGCAGCCCTCCACATCCAACAATTCAAGCGGGCTACTCCGTGACAGCTTTGACAGCCCTCTAAACATGCAGGCGAAGTCTAGTCTCCGACAACGAAAGGGCCAAGAGGCTGCCACGCGTCAGTGCGGAAGCGAGTCTGCCACAAAGACTCGCGCAATGCGTCCTGGCCTCATGTTTGAGGGTTAGGAAAGCAGTGGCGAAAGTCCCAAGCCAACAGATCACGAGCATTTAGAGCCACAGGGCGTCAGGACCTCGACCCCTAAACCCTCAACCCCTAAGCCAATCCCAGTCTTTGAACCCCTCAAGGCCCAACGACACATGACACGGACTCATGGACCAAGGAGCCAGGGTTTGTGGGCCCCTGGTGTTGGTGCCCCGACAGACCCTGCTCCGTGCCTCAGCAAGCATGGTCCTTTTTGTCGGATTTTAAGTAGTACGAAGAATAAGTAGGGTGCTGAGCTTGTCGTGAAGCGTTCTTTCGGGGTCTTCGTCTGGCGGGGGTTGTTGCTGGCGAGGGCTTATGGCTTATGGCACTTGGTACCTCTCTGCATGGAGAAGGCTTGGGGAGCTTAAGTGGTGGTGAGTGCCTGAGTCGGGATCCAGTGCCAAACTGAACATAACCCATGTTACCAGACTCACCAGATCGGTACTTGACAACTTTGCGCAGGACATGAGGCCCCGTCAACACAAAACGATCTCACGACGCACCTCCATCCAGCAAAGCTTAGTTTTAAATAAAGCCTGCAAAGCTAAACCATGCTAAACCCCAGCCCGCCCAACATCCGACTAATCTCCACTCAAGCCGACCGAGGCTCCATAGTAGACTATCGGGATGCCCTGTGCCATCATCACCCATGTGAGCGCATTCTTGATGCGCACCTGCGCAAATCTTCAGGGTATGCACCACACACTCGTAGAAGAAGCCCCCCAGTGCAGCCGCTCAAAAAACGACTTTGAGTTCGACAAAGGACCACAGCCCAAGATGCAAAAGATCGAATAAAATCCTCCAGGAACAGCCGATTCAAACCTTTCTAGAAGCCATGCGATGCACAAAAGCACAAATAAGCACCAAACCCCATCAATTCAAGAGTCACCTTGTCGGACTTGCAGTAGTGCTCGACGCGGGCAAATCTAAGTGCACGGCTCGTGGTGAAAACTTTGATGGCGCAGGATTTCTGGTTTGGTTGCACCCAGGATGCCGAAACGAGGCTGCTTACTGGGTCGGGGCCGTGGTCTCTCTGCCTGAAGGTGGGAGTTATGGTGGCAGGGATTGCGGTACCTGCAACATGAACGGTGAAGCAAGCTCTTGACCACGGCTGCCCCCGAAGGCATGTGAATTGATAAAGGAAGTTTGACGTCTGAAGTGAGGATTCCAAACCATACTTCCTGAAGCCGTAGCCACAAGTTTGAAGAGTTCCATTATTCTAGGTTTAAGGATGTAAGGCTTGATCCCACTGGTGCAGCTAGGCCACTCATCATGGTTGTCCGCGAAGTTCCCCATCAAATCCTGAAGCGCATTGGTGGCGGGTGCGCCGGGTTGAGTCGTTTGAGCCCAGGCCAACAATTCACTTAAACTTCCCCAGTGTTACGTGATCGTTGCCTCAGAATGGTTTTGGAATGAACTTGGAATAGGAGTTCGAGATCTCCCGTGAGATGGACTGGTCCAGGCTTGACACCTAGCACGCGCCAAAGCCCCCGAAGATGCAACATCCGCACGTCCAGGTTCAGACAGGTCTTAAAACCCTTGAAGACAGGCATCAGGCTCATCAGGCCCTGGGAATCTCAACTGGGAAGTCCTTAAAGTCGTGGATCCCCGGGAGCCCGGTCGTCGAACAGACTCAGCTAAGTTCAGATTTTCCGTTTGCCGACAAGGCGCCAGCGACTCGTATCGGCCGGAGGACAATTGAGCCATCATCACCTGTCGGTCTTGGGAGTTTCAGGGTTCATGGATGTAGAGGTTGCACCAAGCCTCAACCCCGGGGAGCCCGACATCCCCCGACATCGCACTGTGAAGTTCCGAACCAAGAGCGCATGCATCCCGAAACTTGTCTTACATCCTTGCACTTGACCCTCGTAGGAGAGCCCCTTTCCAGAGCACGTAGAAGACCGTCTGCTACGTACTCGGAAGACATGAGAAAGCTGCCGGGAACCAGCCTGACCCTGAAGCCCTCTAAAGTGCCCGTAGAGTGTCAGCAAAAGAAACACCGTGGACCCTCATGCAAGAGAGCAAGCAAACTCCACACTCAATTCCAAACCTGAAGTTTTATGTGGAAAACCTGGAAACTGTCGGGCCTGGGCCAATCCTGTCATGTCTGCTTGGCTGCGCCAGCTGCCCTCAGACTGTCGCTTCGCGCTCTATGATGATGTTAGCTTCTAGGTCCGCTTGAGGAGCACGATAGTAGGTCCAAGTGTAATATGTACACCGCCTATGCCCAGAACGTGTGGTTTTTGGGAGCGGAGGGGGGTGGGGTGGGCATATATACATATATATATATATATAATTGTTCATATATGTATTTATTTATATACATACACAAAAATCCAATCACACTGTGCCAGCGGAAAAGGTTTTGGAGTGCAGCGTTGAAGGCGCAAGGCTGTATGGTGGACGTGACTATTTAATGTTTGGTCATTGCCTTGGTAAACAGCATGATGCAGTACAGGAACGGGCCTGGCTTCTGATCATTGGCGGCTTTGAATTGAAACAAACCAATGACTCGGCCCTGAAGCCCCCCAAACCCCACACGATTGCCGCAGATTTAGTACAGGGCATAGCAGCCTAAACTGTGACCTCTGCCCAGAGCATAATGCTATGCATTGTTTTGAGCAAGCTTAGCGGCTTAGAATGCAACCCACAAACAGCAGACAGCCCTTCGCAACACCAGACCTCTAGCAACAAACAAGAAAGCGCGAAGCTGAATTCCTGGCCTGTGTATTATACTTGGCAAACTCTGCATCCAGGATGTAGCCGCAAAAGGCTGTCGGCACCTGCATTCACAGTCCAGGTCTTCGGGTTGAAGCTGTGCTAGAAGTAAGGCTCGGAAAAGCGTATGCAAAAGCTGCCAGCAGCCCACTTCCACAGCAATACTCTCCAAAGGTCTACTTGCAATTTGCAACTCCAAGGGTCTGCCTCCTGCGGATGGCTGCAACAACCCTGAACGGTCCCTACACTCCAGCACTGCCCCGGAAAACCTCTATACTACCTACTTTGCGACTTCAACTTGATAGCTCATGTATGCCCACATCAATCCTACAATCCTACAATAGCGGTGCAACAAGTCGGGTCCTAAACGGACTTCACGTTATCTGAGTGTCCGGGTGAGTTATGACATGCAACAAGAAGTGCAATCTGACTGTAGTCGCGGACGAGGATCTTGCCATGGCATGCCGACAGGTCTCACCCTGGCCTCCCTTGCCGTTGTGCAAGGAAGACACTTCGAGAGCGGACACCTAGAGCCCTGATTCCAAAAACAAACCAAGAGGCCGGTACAAACCCGCGAAAGGCCTCGTAGTTCCTCAGAATCCCAATGATTTCGCGTGTTTAAACAGCAAACCGCGGGCCTGGTAGAAGGGCGGGAAGTTCAAAAGCCCCGTCAAAATGCGCTCGCCCTGGGCGTCTCGCATCAGGTTTGCCTGGCGGGGGCGCTGCACCCAGGGTATCCTCATTTGCATTTTGATTGTTTAGGCTTGTGTATGCTATCCCTAAACCCTAGTCACTTCACCCTAAACCCTACGCCCCAAACCAGGTGTTCAGCCTTTGCTTTGAAACCCTTCAACATTTTCAGTGCTGCCATCTACAGTGAATCTACTGTTCATCGGGACCTGTGTAGGAGAGCAAGCTAGATTGGAACACCCCGAGTCCATGGATAGAAGCCGTGAGGCTTCTGCCTGAGCCTATGACGAGTTCCGGCGAGTAGCCTCTCAGTGTGACAAGTGAAAATTCAGGCTTCAGGGCTGGACGGGATAGACCTTAGACTGTGGCAAGCGTGCCCTTACTAGTCTCAATCCTGCAAAAGCTAAAGCCCCAAGCATTGAACGACCTAGCTACCCATTCTGCTATGAATTTGTCATAAGGGCTTGGGAGATGGTTCGGTCTCGAGGCCCTGTCTCATACACCATCGCTCCTTCAACCCACCCAAAAGTCAAAGAGATGCCTGGGAGTCCTCTCGGGCCTAAACCTCCGCACCCGATGCCTTTCCGGACTCGCGCTCTTTTCACTGCGACTTGTCTTGACGAGGAATGCAGGGGCAGATGACCGCAGATGCAAGTGGGACTTCGGATCGTTTTGTAGCTTACCCATGCCACTTGTGAGCATTTGACATTCAAGGCTAAGGGGTATCCTCACTTCAAGCATCCAAACCCCACCCACCTGCACTGCCCCCGGGAAAAGCAGCATCAGCAGCAAAGCAAAACCCTTCGCTCCCCCGCCGGAGTAGGGAAAAACTTGCCTTAGGCAAAGTCTTTGTCAGGACCAGGCCCCCTTGGCTTGACATTTGCAAACCTTTGGTATTTAGGCTCTAAGACTCGGTTTCGGGGTTTCGTGAAGAGTCGAGTGATAGGAATCTTGTGCAGGCATCTCATGTTAACCTGACACGAAAAACCGCAAAATGTGCGACCGAGAACTTCAACCTGACCACTCGCGGACATGACAATGAGGTAACCCTTTCTTTTCATGCCATACACCCAAACTTATCGTGGCACATTTAACACGATAATAACTTCTGCCACGCACCTCATCCTTGGGAGTCGGCTGTCACGACCATCAATGTGGACTTATGAGAAGGCTCGCTTGCAAGCTTATCCTGGTACGATCGGGGACCGCCCTGTGAAAGGCGACGAGGGTCAAAGAGCCTGCCCGACTCTGCACCTACAGTTTTGGCTACCTGTTGTTAGAGAGGGCGCGGTTCGCTCCACGAGAATTGTAGAACAATACTTCGCAGTTTCACAGACTGTTAGGTGCTGAGGCGTCGGCGTTTCTCGGGCAGTTGCCCAGGAGTGAGCATGCCTTCGGCTGACCTGGCATCTTTGATGTCAGGATCATCCAGGGGCGGTATGCCCACTGAGATCGTGCCCTGCTTCTGATGGACAGGCCCGACAGGGAGCACATTCCCCTTGCCGTCCCAGGTCACAACGGATCCGTCCCCCATGATGGCTGCAAACGCTTCAGACGAAGCCCGGATCTGCCGCATACCACTTAGCTGGTTCAAGATAGGGCCCTTGCCCCAGCTCCTGGGCTGAAATGGGGTTGAAGGGGTTGCGAGCTTTAGATTCGATTACGCTGTTCTGCGCTAGAATCGACGAAGAGGAATGCTTGACTAAATCATCGCCTGGGTTCTTCCACGTGACAACGGGCCCATCCACGAGGATTGAAGCCGTCAAAGGAGATGTGGCCTCCTGAGGTCCCAGCGCGTTCGTCGGCCGATCTGGATGGATGTCTGGGAGCTCGTGGGAGTCCAGGGAGTCCAGGCACTCTCCCCAAGTCACTGCGGTTCCATCAGCGAGGAAGGCAACAAATGCACGATCTGTCGCATCGATCTGCAGCACGTTCTGCAGTGGTCGTTGGACCCTCTTACTGAGACCGCCGTAAAGTCGGCTGCCCCACGTCTCGACGGATCCGTCTGCAAGTATAGCAGCAAATGCACTGTCTGTTGCTTGTACGTTCTGCACATTTTGAAGCCGACCCTGGACGGCACTGCTGTCGCCCCCGTCGTCGGCCCGGCCCCAAGTCACAACGGAGCCATCCATGCGGATAGCAGCAAATGCACCGTAGGAGGCATGGAGCCGCTGTACATTTTTCAGCTGGTCCTCGACAGTACTTTTGTCCCCACCGTGGCGAGAAGAGCCCCAAGTCACCACAGATCCATCACTGAGGAGTGCCGCAAATGCTCCACCGCGTGCCCCCTGGACCTGCCGGACGTGCCTAAGCTGATCCTGCACCAGGCTGCTGTCCCCGCCATCGTGGCCACTACCCCAAGTTGCTACAGACCCATCCTCGAGGATTGCTGCAAATGCACGATCTGTAGACTGGAGCTCTCGCACGTTCTGGAGGTGCTGCACGGAGCTGCTGTCGCCACCGTAGTCGGAATCGCCCCAAGTCACGACCGACCCATCGTGTAGAATGGCAGCAAACGCGTACGCGGTAGCACATATCTGCACGACATCTGCAAGCTGATCCTGGAGGGCGTGCGCGAAAGCTTTTTTGTCTCCGAGAGAAGGGGAGGAAATCATTGTTCTTTTTATTCCAAGGAGGGGGGGTAGCAGAAGGGGGTGGGGAAGGAGGATTCCTGGGGGAGGGGGGGGGGGAGTCACGACCATTATTGCTTCCATGTGCTTTGTTTGTCTTTGCTTTCGGGGAAATAATAGCGAGGGGTCTCCATAAATTCTTCGCTCACTGCGATCCTGGACAGAGCGGCTGTCGCCTCCATGCTCACAACAGCCCCATGTTACAACAGATCCATCACCGATGAGGGCCGCAAACGCCCCGTGCGTTGCCTGCACCTGCCGCACGTTCCTGAGCTGGTGTTGGACAGACCTGCTGTCACCACCAGAGCTGGGATTACCCCAGCTTACAACAGAGCCATCCTTGGTTGCTCACGGCACCCAGTACATCTTTTCCAAGCTTACATCTCAGCATCTCAATATTACGTTCTTCGTATGATATTTGTATTTGTATTTGTATCTGTATACTCGTACAGTACACATATTCTATATATATATATATGTCTATTTCTCTCAGTCTCTCTCTTCTTTCTTTATCTCTTCTTTCTTCCTCTCTCTCTCTCTCTCTTCTTTCCTTCCTTCCTTCCTTCTTTCTTTCTTTCGTTCTTCCTTCCTTCCTTCCTTTCTTTATTTCTTGATTGCTGTCTTTCCTTCTTTCTGTCTGTCTTTCTTGCTTTCTTTTCCTTCTGTATTTATTTCTTTCTGTCTTTCTTTTTTCTTTCTTTCGTTCTTTCTTCATGTCTTTCTCTCTCTTTCTTTCTTTCTTTCTTTCTTGGTGCTTGGGGTCTTGCTTGCTTGCTTGCTGTGCGTATGACCCCCGAAAGGGCTTGGGGTCTCTCTCTCGCTCTCTCTCTCTCTCTCTCTCTCTCTCTCTCGCTTTCTTGTGGCATAGGGGCTAACCCTCGTGCGGACGTGAATTGCACATGAACCAGGGAAGCACGCAAGTGTGCCTAGTTAGTATGTCTATACATATAGAGATATGCATGCACAAATACATGGTGCCTATATAGGCAAAAAGAGTTGTTCGCAAGGGCCCGCTTGCAAGTTGTCTTGAACAAAAAAGCCCAAGCATCACCGAGGATGGCTGCAAAAGCAGTTGCTGTAGCAGCCATGCCCATCTCCCGTATATGCAGTGTCAAGACATCTCCTGTCTTGAGGCCTGCTTGGCCAACGGTTAATGCTCCTGTGCTGTTGGTAGGCACGAAAACAACTTTCAGAAATCCAGCACCTGAAAAACAACAACCCGGACTACAAGGATCACAAGCACTCCCTACCCAAACACCCAAGGCTCCATGCAGGATGTCGCCTGATGCACTCAGCAGCATGCCCCTGCCAGTCTGCAAGGCCTTCTGTGCCTGGAGCTTTAGCTCCTCCATGGTGCACGCAACCTTGTGTTCGATTTAAGGACCCTGCCAAAAGTTGTTAAAACCTTGTAGATTCCCTTTGCTGCAAAGCGCAGTGCGGATTTTAGGGTTATCGTTGGCATTCGTTGCGGGGGGAGGGAGGCGTTGCCGTTGAGCACAACAAAGAAGCAGTGGCGGCAATTCGCGCTGTTCTGCCGCTCATGAGCACGACGTCGAGGTGTACAGAGGCCATGGCAACCAGCAAGCTGCTAAGCCCTGAAAGTTGACCTTGCGCTCAGCCAGTACATCCAGGTATGTGCTAGATCTCTGGCTCCCAAAGCAAAAGCCATGGAGAACCCAAACCTTCGACTCTCGCAACATTGCCGAACGAGTTTGAGCTCATGCGCCTCAACATGCTCTGAACCTTGAAAGTGCAGAGGCAGCGCGGAGGCTTACAAGTACTTTCATTTTCAAGCTCACAGCCAGAAACTTAATCGAGGTATGTGTCTCCCAAGCAGCTGTGCAGGTGCCTAATTCTGATTGGGATTTGACTCGAGTGGCCAGTGACAAGCCATAGCTTTCTGTTGTTACCGACAAGCTTGCTTTCGCGAACCCAAACATAAAACAGCACTTTGGTGCACCAGGCCACCAACCTTTCGTAAATAGCAGCAGAGTTTGCGGATAGTTCATTCATAAAGAACTCCGACATAGACTCTGACTCAGGATTCTCTGCAAACGCAAGGAGGTGAAGCGTGTTCAATCACAACTGCATCTTCAGCCGTTCAGAGAAACTCATAAGTTTACTGTCGTGAGGGCAAGAAAGCGGCATGCTCGACCCACTTTAAGCAGAATCTGGTTCGAGTATGGCAGCATGTCCTCTACACCACAAATCCCAAACTGGAGTTCCCCCCTCCCCTCTACAGCCAGAAATGGCTTCAAGCATCAATGCAGCCTGGTAGGTCAGATTGTTCACCGTGGCCTTGCCAGAGGGGATCTTGAACAGGTCTTGAGGTTTTATTGAGGATCTGAAAGCCTTAAGAACTGGACAAGGTTCTGGGTTGCGGAATATACTCGTTTATTGGGAAGATCTGATAAATGTCTAAACCTAGGGGTTTAGGTTTTTCCGAGATTCAATCTCACATCATGCAGTCGGGCATATGGAAGTCGACCAAATTCAAGCTACAGTGAAGCCTTCCCTGAGCCCTGCAACCCTGACCATTTTGAGATCCTTGCATTTACAGGATTTGCTGATCTTGCCGCTATGGAATTACCTCTCATAGAAAGATTTTCTTACTGAACGTTTCAAACTTGATCCAGAGATGTACTAAGAGAACTCACTAAAACATGCGAAGCCTCATCTCTGGAGAGTGGTCTGCCCTGGGAGGGGGGGGGGGGGGACCGTGACTCGATGAAACCTGATCCTGATTCGCGCTTTCTCATTAAAGTTCACTCCTCCTCTTCCCGTGAAAGCTAGAAAACGCATCGTTTTGTTTCTCCCCTCCCCTAGCCCCCACACACACACTTTTATTCACGTACTACCTCCTGTCATTGATCTACCTCTTACTCTTACTGGGGTGGGAGAATGTAGTGCTTGAATTCGAAAGTGAGTGTGGAGTAACCATGGGTTAGGATGCCTTTACAAGATTTCCTGCAGGGAGAAGGGAGGGACAACTTGTTTCGGATTGGGTATTGAGGAGATGTGTGTCCCTTTCCCAGCGGAAGATGCCGCGAATGTTGAGCCCACATCTAAAGGTTGGAGGGTGACCTCTGATTCGGCGCAGGTTTACGGCGAAGGCCTCACCAAGGATCTCCACGCCCACGACCTGCTGCACCTGCAAACGTAGTCCAGACATTCCTATGCCTCATAAGCAACTGACTCGACCAAGCCCCTAGGTAAGCAGGCTGTATGAAAAGAATCACCAAACGGGCACTGGGAAGGCTGTTTCCGAAGGCACAGGAGAGGGATACCGTCCTCGAAGTGCTAACGCTGGTGTTGATGGTGTGTCTGGGTGTAGGACTGCGGGATCATGATGGTCAGCTTGGGGGGTTCCAAGCCCAACTATTCAACCCTAAAACCAAAGAAACGTACATCACAATCCCATCAATGACTTAAAGACTAAATTAAAGTCGCTTAAGCTGCATCGGGGTACTGAATCAAGGCCCTGGGTGCAAACATAGCTGTGTCCTGCTGGGATGCTCGATTGATCTTGGGCGTGACAGGTACTGCGTTCTCGGATGCGGGACAACCCCGAGGCCACCCCACCCCGAACCCCAGAACGCCCAGTCCCCCGAAAAGTTCGCGGAGTGGGCACCTCGCTGACAAAGCCTGGATCCACATAGATGGCCGTGTCCTTAGTTTGAAGGGAGTCGCCTGTTTAGGGCTTCAAAGTATGCCTACCGCCGATCTGTAGGGTATGGTTTAATTTGGATCACATTACATTGACCATCAACGCACCCGGTAGAAGTAACTGCGTCACAGCAGTTCATCCCTAAACCCTAAACCCTAATTGCACATTTGCGAAGAATGCAAGGCTGTGCTGCGGGTGCTTTCCAACCTCCGTTCTCTCCTGTGTACCTTGCTGTCATGACCCCCGGCCCTGTTGAGTTGCTGAATGAACGACCCCAATGGTTCCTGCAAACCTGGGTAAAACTCCACGCCGTGGTGCTAGGCGGAAAGCATCCACGTCGTAGTCTGTCACAAGGCCGGTGACCCAGTCTGAGCTTTGAAATAGGGTTCGAGGGCCAGTGTTTCTTTATGATGCCTGCATCCGCTGTGATCGTCAAAAGCCAACTTCGTATTTACAGCTCCAGTATGTAGAAAGACACCCAGCAATGGCCTAAACCCACGAAAACCTTTCGATAGAGGGCTAAGGTTACACATGTTATAGAGGATTATTCGAGGGGATAACTCAAAATGACCCCAAAGAAGCATGACGTAGTGGATGAGGGGGCCACGCTTCTTTATCAAAGAAGCATGACTTAGTGGATGAGGGGCCTCTTTATCCCACAGCTTGGCTGCATGCTCCCGTCAGCAAAGATGAAAACACTGGCACCCGAAGCCTCACAACATGAACCCCTCAGCTCTCAAGTCCACAGCCCATGGAACTCAACACTTTGAACCCCTAGATGTCACTCGGCTTCGGATGCAGCTTTTGTTTCGCTACCTTTGTTCTTGTTTTTGAGTGGCCGTCTGGGGGGCAAGCCCCTAAACTACAGGAGGTGGTGCAATCCGTGGGGGAGGGGAGGAGGGGCTCGGCAAGCCTTGCAACTGTCAGCACTTTTGACACGAGTTCGCTACATTGTTGACAGGAAACTCCTATTTTTGCCATACTTACATAAGAGAACTCAACTGTTTCGAAAGAAAACCTCCGTGCTGGTAAAACTAGGATGACAACCTCGATCTCCTCTATGCTCTGATTCTGACTCGCGATTGTTCTCTTTATGTTGCCCTGAAGAAGAAGGATGCCCCCTACATTTTAGACGGAAACCTCTACGAGGATCCTCTACACTGTCATAGAAAACCATTTATTCTGTGTCTTCCTTAGGAAAGCCTCTCGTGCTTTTGGATCCGGGGGGGGGGGGGCGACCCCCTTCCCCTCGCCCACAAGGGAACCAAAAATGGGAAGATAACAAACAATTAACTAAAACCAAACCATACATCTTTCGTCTTCTTTCGCCGAAGCTCCGAGCATCTGCTCGCGCACATAGGGATGGCTGTGGTTGAGGTCCCCGAGGGAGCCGAACCATCCTTCGACCTGCTCGCTTCCCCGGTCCGATCACTGGTATGCCGTTGCGTCAGCGTGCACAACCGCCGACTCCATGGAACTCAACTGCGCCCTTGGGTATGTACCACATCATTAAGGCTCCAAAAAGGTTTTTGCACACTGTTCTCTTCTAGCTAAGCTGCTTTTACATGGGCCTGGCCTCAGAGTTTCCTAGTCGGACACACCTCAGCCGCAGAGTTCCAGACGCAAGAACTATGTCCACTATGATCAAGATCAAACACTTTACACCTCTAAACCTAAACCCTACACCCTAAACCCTAAACCCTAAACCCTAAACCCTGAACCCTGAACCCTGAACCCCGAACCCTAAACCCTAAACCCTGAACCGGAGCTGAGGCCCACAGCCTGCTGCTGAGCGTTGTAGGATGGACAGCTTTGGCCTCAGCACGAATAGAGAGATTCGCTGAGTGTGCGTTTGGGCCGATTTCTGGTGAGGATTCCTTTAGGGTTTATAGGGTTTAGGGGGAAGGCCCATCAACTGTGTTGGAGGGTTTTTGTTCAGCGTCGATGGTTTCGGGTTTAATCTTGGCACCTTCGACGTTCATCGCTTGGACTTGCGGCATTGTGTTTGCTTTAGGCTTAGCCGGAATTCGTCAAGCGACGTAGCTATGCTGATAAAGTGTCGAAGATCAATTAACAAAGCAAAAGCGATATCAATAAACAGATGATGATGATGATGATGATGATGATGATGATGATGATGATGATGCAAAGTTCCGCATGTGCAGGATTCCCCACATGCCCACTTTTCGAATCAAGAGATGCTTCCCTTAAGGTGAACTGCCGATCCCAAGCCTTCTCAAGCTCCAGACGCAGCATTAAGGCGGCGAGTCACCCATGTTTCCCGGGAAGCACGAACACTCGGTCTGCTCGGGATGCTCTGTGCCGCAGGACACCTGAACTCACAGACTCGCATGGCCTGATCATCCTTTCTGTAGGCTGGAGCATAGCTCAGGAAGCAGGGCCAAACCCGAAAGTGCAATTGTCGCCCACTTGGCAACATACATTGCGAAACATGCCAATGGCGTGTGTCCTCGTTGCGAGTGCCCAAGGTACGGGCAGCAATTGGAAAGAGTTCGCTCAGGGAGTGATGGTGCTCGCTGGACGTGGGTTGGCGGGCGTACAGGGTTTAGCAGCTGATGCCCATGATGCTCGCTGGAAGCTCCTGGCCCGTGCAGGGGTTGGCAACTGATGCATCTGATGCTTGCTGGAAACGGCCTGGCCCGCACAGAGCCAACTGATGCCCGCGATGCTCGCAGGAAGTAGTGTAGCCTGGGCCGTACAGGTTTTGGAAACTGATGCATCTGATGCTCAGGCTCATGATGCTCGCTGGAAGCTGCCACGCCCATGCGTTGTTTGGCAACTGGTCGCTGGAAGCGGCTTGGCCCGTACAGGAGTGGGCAAGTGATTCCCATGATGCTCGCAAGAATAATAAGGGGCCGTGGCCTTTGGGTTCCCTATAGTCCTCAATCACCCCGACAATCAACCCCGAACCCGCTTTTCAGGCTTTTCAGGCTTATCAGGCTTTTCAGCTTTAAAAGTCTCAGATCAGGCCTGTTTCTTCTTGACGAGCTTCTCCAGGTTGCGACTGTCCATCGATCCATCGAAAGCTGGTGGGGGTCCACTCAGCAGATAGTCCTCGGGCAGTCCGAGCCTTTGTTTCTTTTAACGTTCTTGGGCTGGGATAAGTGGTTTAGAGCCTACCTTTTAAGGGCCCAAGTAGAAGCTCAAGGATCTCCAGATCTCAGTGCCAGAACGCACAGCCTAAAACCTACCGAACCCCAGCGCCCCGCAGATTCGATCGCCGACCTCCTCAGCAATCCTGACCCCCATATCCGACGCCGTGGGCGTTCCAGGCCTGGCCCCTCCCTAAGACCCCCCTCTAACCCCTCTTGCCCTTTCCAGCCCCCCCCCAAGCCCTTCAACCTCCTGAACTCATGGCTTGGCACCCCGCGTTGTGGCTGCCGAGGCAGCGCATTCAAGCGTTTACGATAGGGTTCCCGACAAAACGGACTCAACGAAGCTGGGATCAAGCCCTCTCTACACCCAAAAAACAAGGTTTGAGGTTTAATTACGCAGGTTTACGAGTTTACAGGCGAAGGTGGTCGAAGCAATCCAAGCTCAGCGCCTAGGCAAACTGAGACTCTAGGGGGCCAAGCCCAGTTGTGCTGAACAGCTCTGGAAAGCTTCCGCCTCACTGAGTATCGTCCTTCTGCTTTTCTATAGGCATGTGCGTCTTACGCCTTACCCCTAGCTATGAAGAAGATCAGCTGATTTCTTCGCAATGAACTGTCGTACTTTGGCAGGGCTCCAGTCCTCAAAGGATTGATCTGGACGCCGATCACGCTGGTGGTAGTACTCGGGCTTGTCGAAAGGCACGATGGACGACATATTCAACTTGCCATTCACCTGCGAACGCGCATGACCCTGAACCCTCAAGCCCCCAAGTCAGCATCTTGCCGTGCCAGACATTGCACTGTTTCTTGAGAGCTCGATTTTTAGTGAGAATAGAACGGGAGCTTCCGGGGGGGGGGGGGGGGGTTGGGAATGCGCGTTTTGGGCTAGAAACCACTGTTCCCCAAAACCCCACGTTCCAGCCAGGAAGGGTGGTTGGGAATCATTGTTTATATTTGGCTGCTTTGCTCTTTCTCTATCTCGGGAATAGTAGAACTGAGCGGGCGCAATATTATCTTCATGAAACTGTTGATGGAGGAAATCTTGCACCACTTTGAATGGCCAAGCAAAGTAGAGACCCGTCGCCCCCTTCATAATATTATTATCCGTTGATCCTCGGAAGTGCCGTGGGTTCCAATGACAACAAATCTTGCACCACCTCGGTGTTCATCATCATCAATATTAAAACGGGGGTGCGGGGTTATGCTCATGCGTCGTGTCACTTATTATTAGTTAGGTGGTGCAAGATTTTCTCCATCAACCGAAGCGCCCAGAAGAGTATTCGTCTTTGTTGGTCTGTTTATTTCGTTACTAGTTTCATGCGTTAAAAGACCTCCTTTGTTAATCTATACTAATCTTTAATGGTACTGTGGGAGTCGGTGAACGAACGCTCTTTTCGAGCTGAGAAGGGGGTAGCTGGGAATCATGGTTTTGGCACCTTTTGGAATAGAAACCGCTGAGGCCCCTTACAGTATCGAGCCGCCGAGGAGCAGGGGTTGGGAATCACGGTTGTTTCTCGTGATGGGGGTTTGAGGGCTTGGGGCTGCCTTTCGAACCCCCTCATCTCAAGCCGAGAGTGGTTGCGAATCATGTCTTACAGCCTTCTGCGGCGGACAGGGGCCAAACGCCGAGTCGACTCTGGAGTTTGAGTTTGATAGCAGCTTAAAGCAGTTCTTCGCAGTCTTTTCCATAGGTTTAGAACGTGAAGCTTGTCAAAGCCGGCCACTGATGCAGAGGGCCCGAATAGTCCCTAATGGTTATTTTGGGGCAGCCATTTCGGGGTTTTGAGAGGGCTTACTTTCAGGTTCCAGGATGCTTTAGAAATTCAAGGGCTTGGAAGGGCTTCAGTTGCATTTTAGCCAGTTGAGTCTTGGAAGGTCACCTGGTCCCTCCTACAAGCCTACCGCCAGCAAAGCGCCCAAAGCTACAAAACACGGGCTTCAAAACCCCGCCACACCCTTGCTAACCCTAAAACGTGTCCTAAACAAAAAGCCCCAAGCGACTCCCCGCACACCTTCAACGAGCGCATGTGGTTCAGTACGATGTCCATCACCAGGCACATGCCCCTATTGTGTAAGCCTGGGTTGTTGGTAGAGCTGAATACCAACTCAAGGCTTCGAGTCAAGATTTGGTGCAGGTCCATAAGAGGTGCTAGGGGATTGCGGTGCAGGCAACGAAACTACTCTTGATTTGTTGATAGCTCTCACCCGAGAAGAGCTCATACATCTCCACGGCCTAGCCAAAAACCGACAACTGCACCAGAACAGTGGAGGTTATGCACGACGTTCTTATGATGCGGCAAAGCTCTAAACCTTGGAAATGCACTAAGCTCGGAAGCCCGAAGCAAACACCCAGGCAAAAAAAGTCTGACAACTTGCAGCCTTGCCAACCCAAAAAAAGACGCCGCCGACAATCGCTGTCAAACCGGGCAGGGTGTGTGGGCTGTAGAATCATATTAGATCTGCGGATGAGGGGGCAGGCTTGGGGGCTTCAGGTCGGGGAAGAGGCGTTGGGAATGCTTGGGGTGTTCTCAGGCTTTGTCGACCTCGGTGTGTGCAAGGTGTGACAGAGCACCTCAAGCCGGCACAGGGGCTCTGTGAGAGCTTCTTCAGGTCCGCTTTGGTGCCGAAGTGAGGATTGATCTCAAAGAGGTTTATGGCATCCTTGGTCGGGGGTGTGCATGGGTGGTATGGGGATGTATGGGCTTCGGGTTTCGGAGCCTAAGTCGTCCCGCAACGGCTTCAGTTCTGAGGGTCTGAGCGATTCGGGGCGTTCCCGTCAGAATTAAGAATTTTCAGTGTGTGCAAGGCCCTGATCAACTTTCCTAAGCCTTCCCAAGACCGACCCGAAATCAAGGTAAAATGGTTCGAAGCTTCAAGCCTTCCAGCCAAGCACACACTCTTCAAAACCGATGAACTCATGGCAAAAGATCCTCGAAGAAAGCTCTGAATGCGCTGGTGCGTTTGGGAGGGCTTCGGGAGTGAAGGTTCTTGAGATGAGGGGGCTCCGGTTGTTGCGCTCTAGCCAACACAAAACCAGTGCGATCCCGGAAGCCACTCACCCACACATCAAACACACATCAACATCAAACTGGCTGCAGGTTCCGATCCAGAGAAAGCTCTAGGCTGTTTGCGGCCTCAGCGTCGTAGCCCATGTATCCATTTGAGTCGAATGGAGGCGTGATCCAGATACAGTCGAAGCCCATCCCCTGTATGTAGTCCAGCTTGCCTCTGAAGCTTCGGAGGGCTTAGGACCTTCGTGCTCACGTTCGGGCTCACGAGCTTCTAACGATTATACCTGTCGCTTCGATTATAGCTGTCGCTTCGGCTTAAGCAAAACTTAGTGGATGACTGCGGCGGCCGTGGTGCATTTTGAGGCTGTAGGTTTCCCTGCTTAGGGTTCCGGGGCGAGCATGAGCACACCCACGTACAGCAGAAGCTGATATGCCGTTGGTTTTCGTGCATTGAGTGCTGGCGTGCAGGTGGGTCAGACTTGTGATCTGATTCAACAGTGGCCAGCGAGGCGAGAATGAGCACACACACACATACACACATAAAGCAAAAACTGACAGCGCCCTAAAGCAAAAGCTGACAGCACCCTTAGCGCTTCCCACAGGCCAGCACTAGCGGGCTCACCACCGCTTAACTTTGGAGGAGAGATCCGGTGCATTCAGTGAGATATGGCCGTCAGCGCCTCTACAGTCATTGACAGGTTTCTAAAGCAAACCCACCTGGCTTCTGTTGTTTGCAAAAAAGAAGCCGATTCCGTACACTCCCAACTTGACATGGAAAAGCGAAAACCTGATTACCAAATCTTGAATTTGGTGCATGATTGGCAAGCAAAACGCTCAGAAACACAAACGCGCAGCATCTGTGCAAGAGGATAAGTAGTGAGGTTGGGTCAATAGGTGGCCAACACGGAGGGCAGCAAAGGACGAGATGGCGGTTCTGTTCCACGCGTTCACGGTTTAGGGCTCTTGAAGATTGAGCCAAGCCAGGATTCTCCTTGCTGCCTACCAGGCCACTTGAGAGTGCGCAGCTGTTTCTATTGCAGCGTCAAGATCTTTAGTCGCTAAACAAAAACCTTCGAAAGTTAGCAGGAGCGCTGGAGGGTGTCCCAAAATAGGCCCTGCATTTCATCGGCAGAGTCATGCTAGCACCGCTTCGAGGTCTTATTGCATGCTGACACAACTCAAGAACCGCTGATGCACGGCATCGGTTGAGGATGGCATACACGCACAGCAAAACGAAAACCGGAAGCTAAGTTCACACTTTAAGTCATAAAATGAGCCCAGGGGCTGGTAATGCCGTTGATGGTACCTCCGCAGTATCCACCGCCTGTGTTGTTCGTCCTCTCCCCCCCAGAAGGCACGATAAACCCACAGGCAATAGAATGGCCCAGAATGGCATCAGCCATGGAAAGGAAAGCCCCTGAAACACCTTCCAAACCCTAAGCCCTAAACCATCCCTAAGCCTACCCCTCTATGTTCGGGACTTCCAAGTGAAGAAAGGTCTCTTCATTCTCGTATGGATGACTCGGGCCTCAAAAGGTGTCGAATATGGGGGCCTAAATAATCAGGATACGCTTTTGGGGTTATTATGCTAGAATTACAAAGGGACCATAAGGGAACATTACCAGTAATTCTTCCGACCCCTAGATAACTTAACATGAGCCCGGGGTTCCGGACTTCTTGCCGGAACGCTTATCTTGAGCCCGAAAGCCTGCTAAGCCTAAATATTCAAGAAGTTTTCCAAGCGGGCAGCCGCCTACACGAGCCACAAGCCTACACGAGCCACAACCCTAAAGCCGAGATTGAGCTTGGAACTCCTTCGACTGTGACCCCAATCCAGCTACCACAGCCCCAACAACAGCCTCGAAACCCAAGCCCGCAGAAGAACACACGTGACAGTGACAGCTCCGAAGTAGACAAGGCCTTTAAAGACCTTCAACTTAAACCGCCTAAACCCTGCGGTCCAGTCGGCCGACTTGTTGCAGTAGCTGAAGTTATACGCCTGGCCATGCAAAGCCATGCTTGGTGCCTTGGGAGCTGTAGACACGACTTTGGGGATTTTCCTTTGAGGGGCCTTAGGCTGGCCATCATGAATCCTGGTACATAGGGAGGCCACTAGGGATCCTTATGGCAAAGCTGCATCTCTTGGCGCGCCTGGTTGCCAGTCCGCGCAAAGCGGTCCTGCAGGAACGAAATGTTCGAACTCGTTAGATTTGTTTGGTTCGTGAGATGCAGAGTTCAGCTCTAGGCCTTGAAAAGGAAAAAGTCAGCTTCATTCAATTTGATGCAACCTCTTTGTCGTCCCGATACTCACCCGGAACTTTTCATTACAATCGTGGCACTGTTGGTTTCTGCAGCTTTGAGGTCCAAGCAAGTCGGCGCGGTTGCATCTGCTCAAGCATGCCTTCGTCAACCCCACCCCCTCCCACCGAAAAAACACTTTAGGGCCCATAGGGTGTCGGGAGTTTCGAATTGATAATCGCAACACCAATTCAGACTGACATAAATCTGAAGCCAAAGCCCTAACTTTCCCCAGCACCGTCTCAAGAGACTTTGAAGCTTCAGGACCTGAGGGCTTGGGATGGCAGGCTTCGCTTCTAAGACTTCTGGTCCAAACTCGATAAGCGTGGGTCCAGAACGATGAAATATATCGACTTCCCGGCAAGCGTGAAGGGCTCCAGGCCTCAGAGGGCGTGGAGGAGTTGGTGCTCAAGAGTTGATGTTTGGGTGTAGGGGTTTGATCGGGTTCGAGCTTAGTGTGACAATCATTTTACGGGCGATGACCGTCTCAAGTCTGTGACAAACTGCAAGGTCCTACTTGAAAACGAAATGGCATGCTGCGTGGAAGGCGTGAGCTTTGCTGGGTGGCTGCTGGCCATGGCAGGAATATCGCGACGAGCATGTTGTCCACGTGCCGCTGTGGGAAGAGGCGGTCACCGTCGACAGTGATTCGGCTTTCCGAGCCGTGTGCAACTTTCGTCACCAGGCACGCTTCGCAGGCTCCGGATCGCTCCCAAACTGCCCAGCAGCCTGGATGGAAAAGTACGTGAGAGGCTTCCTGAAAGCGCAAAGACCGAGTGTGGGCGCGAGGTCGCCTTTCACCTTCCTGTGTTCATTTAATGTCGTCCCAGAAAAGCTGTAAGTACGAGTAGCGAAGAAGCAAGGATGCAGATCGTGATAAGCAGCTTCGAAGCCGGAGGTCGTGACTCGTGGCGCTTCGAGCTTTACTCGGAACGGTCGAAGAAGAGCCCGGCTAAACGTTGAGGTTTACAGCGTGATCTGACCTTTGAAGTGCCAAGCCCCTGATCAAAGTCAGCCTAGTGACCGTCTCTGATGGACTTGGTGACGAGGGCCTGCCTTCGGGAACCAACTATTCAGTGCAGGCCCCCTTGGAGCCATGGTGAGCCCTGTCTGCCGGAAACAAGCGACAAGCAGAACTGATCTGAGATGCCAGGGTGGGTTTAGGGCATTGGGTTCAGGGCATTGGTGCAGTCATGTGCAATCTCTAGCAGTTGTGGGCCACTCACTGTGTCCACCCTCGGTTGCGGGGTTTGTGCGAATTTTGTTTGAACCTGAAAGACGTGCTCCAGAAAGAGTAGAATTGCTGTACGTACGAGCATATCCAGCGAAGCTGGACAGATTAAAACAGAACAGGGGAGCGAAGAGTTCAAGGTTAACCTGCCCTCAACCTTCAATCATCCTCAAAGTCCAGGTGCCTCGGCGCCGAGACAAAGGATTCGATGCTGGGGGAACAGAGGCGCAGAGCCCAACAGCCCAGAAGGATCCAAAGGAGCAGCCTGAGAGAGGGAATCTTGCGATCTGAGGGGGCTAAAGCGGTTCTCTATGTCTGTAAAAAAAACTTCTCTCGGTCGACAGGTTGCAGTACCTTGAGAGCTTGAACGGGCTTAGCTGTAGTTGGAGGGGATACGGGCCGTTCTAAACCCTGAAGCGTGCATGGTTTAGTGCTCAGGGCCCATGCTCCCCCCGCAAGGAACCGTAAAGCAAAATCAAAAAACCAGAATCCATTCATGGGATTTCGGTCCGCCTAAGTTGCGCCTAAATCAGGACCCCCCAGCATCTGAACAGCCGTGAGAGACGGGCTCAACAGAAACGGACTCTGCCTTACGCCTCAGGATGCAGCCCCTTCCCAAGCAGGGAGGCAAGTAGACCCTCTTCAGCACAGGAGCGATGACCAAGGGGACCAAGGCATGGCTCCACAGTCGAAGCTTTGTTCGGGTTTTGGGAGGGGGGGGAGCTTTTGGCTTTCGAGTCCACGTGTCAGGGCTTTTTCTGGCTTGCGATACCACTTAGGTCCTCAGCGTACTCTCTTTGCATTCGGGGTGCTTCCTGAGTTGGTACCGTGAGAGTGAGATGCACTGAAGGTATTTCAAGCTTGGCACCCGTGAGATTGCAGCTCCCCGGGCATGCATGTTCATGATATGCTTGGCCAGCATGTTGCAAGTCTTTTGGAATTTAGGTCGCAGGGCCTACCATCGTCAAACTAAGCGCTGGAGCCCGAACATGGACCCAGGATGGTGTAGAACGGTGCAAGCTGATGTCATGCTGACATTCCAATCTGGACGGTAAACTGGGCAGACCCGACAAAACCACAAAAGCATTGAACATTTTGAGCGTTGAGGTTCCGAGGCCCTGCATGCAAACCCTCAAACCGAACATCCTAGAAATCCCTAGAAGGGCTAGAACCTAGCAGCTGCTTCCTCAGCAATTCTCAGGAAGCACGTGTTGAGTTGAGGTGGTGAGTCACGGTTCTTCACAGACCCTCGCACCGCCATCAGCTCAACCCTGAAGTCCAACCGGCCTAGTCCTAAGCTCTGAACGGCTCTGAACTGTCCCGAACCCACATCCACACCTCTCTCACCCCAGACTGAAGCCCAAACCTGCAAGCCCTAAGCACACGCACAGCTCAAACTGATCCTGTGGGGAACAAAGCACCCGGCCTCATCTTGTCGCTCCCGCTGCTCGGCATGGGCTTCACGCCAGGGACCGGGCTCCGGATGAGGTATGGGGCTGTATACTGGTGCGTATGTGTCCACGCTCCGCATTCTCGACCCCTTCCCCATGGTACCACCGCCAACCCTAAACCCGGACCCTTGAACCCGACCCCACCACGAACTACAGGTGGGAGGCGGGAAAACCCGAAACCCTGAACCTAAATGAACCCTCAAGCCAACACTGAACCGAGACCATGACCCTAAATACCAAACCCGACCGAAGCCCTGAACCCTAAGTCCCTAGAACCCCAAAACCAACCCGCAACCACACCACTTGGGCCTTAGGTTTTAGGGTCTGAACCCCAACCCTGAGAAGCCCTAAGCACAAAGTATCCCGACCATGGCCCTAAAGGCCCAAAAAGCACCCTACCCCCTAAACCCTAAAACCCTTAGTCCATCTAAAACCAACCCACAACCACACGGGAGTTACCCTAGACCATTGGGGGGGAAGGCGGAGCGCATGATTATATGTAGGCCTCGGGTGAGGGGATGGGGGCGTGCGGTGGGCTGCTGTGAAGACAGGATGGGGCTTATAGGACTTCGCGGGCTAAGTTTCGGGTGCTCTGCGTAGCCAGTTTGGGTAAGAAGCTCGGGAGCCCAGGGACCATTACAATGCAGATCTCATGCTTCTGAGGAAAAAGCTGCTGCGTATCTTTATTGAAGCCAACAAGCGTGAACGGACTAATCACTTCTGCTTAGACTGCCTGTTTATCGGCCATGCTGTGCACAGGTTCTCATTCCAGCTTCCTAACGTTGGCCAGCATCAAGAGCAGCTGGCTTGGAAAATAAGGGCTTCTCGCAAGAATGATTGGAGCTACAGTGACGACGCAAATAGACATCACCATGAAACCCTACAGAAAAACCACGGAATGCATAGAGAATCATGGAAACAAGCAGAGGCCATAGACACCTTAATCAAAAGCGTGTACACCAAACATAGAGATAGATAGAACCATGGAAACCTGGCAAACCATGACAGTCACAAGGCGTCAATTTGGAACTCAGCCGCTTTCACCTGACACTTTTTGTTCGCGTTCTAAGTTCCCCGATCACAGGGTTTGAGCTGGCTTCTCTGGTTTTGGTTGCCTGTGTTACCAAATTTAAGCCTTCTTGTGTAGCACCTCAAAAAGACCTGATCGATACGTCCGTCTTGGGCTCAATCCTGAGCATTGTATATCACATCTGCCTCTCCACCCCTGTACTGTACCTCGCGCAGTGCTGCTATTTATTTGCAACCTCCACAGGCTGAGAATGGCGGATCACGGACGCTTCGCCTTTCCATTTTGGGCGTAACATTCGATGGCAAGGAGAAAAGCGCACTGAACACCAACTTGAATCCTTCTTATTTCACACGCAGACTCATTTGTTTATAATACGATCTGGTGACCGCTGTAATGGTCACAGCTGTACATGCTCTTGGCTTTTGTGAGCCAGCTAATAACATGCTCCCGCCCAAAGGCTCAAAAGTGGCGGCCCTTGCGAAGGGATGTCATGATCTTGAGCCAACAAGTCAATAGCCTTACAGTACTACTAGAATCACTAGAAGCCGAAAGCTCCACCCCAGAAATCCCTTTGCAAAAGAATCGCTTCGAGCGGTCCCAATTTGAATTGGGCTCCCTGCCGTGCGGAGGTAGCATTCCGGCTGTCAGATCTCTGAACCTGGTGGCCTATCTGCTGAGTGCTGCTAGCGCAGCGCATCAGACACTTGCCATAACCCTGCTCATTGCATTGGCAAAAACACTTGTCCTAGAGCCAGTGTAAGGATGCGAACGATCAATGCTCATCAAACAAGTAAGAACAAATTTAACAAACATTGCAGTTGCAGTAGCAGTGGCAGAAGGCCTAGTATGCCCTGGCCATAGTCGAATGTGCGGCACAAGGCATCGGTTTGATGCCAGGAATACATGCTTCGGTCCGAGCCAGTTTCAACGTCGATGCGGTACCCAAGTCAAACTCCGCATCTGCAAAGAGGTTGTGCTCAACAAAGGCATTGAGGCTCACGTCTACACGTAGTTTGCACCGACAAAGCTGTTAAGCCGTCCTGCACTTACCGGTGGAAGATTACAAGTACGCTGGCCGCAAATCCCCAAAACCTATGCCTTGTCCTCTCAGGCCAGGAAAGCGTGAACATCTGACTGTACGAAAGAGGCGCACGTTCAAGCCACCTCCGCTATGCCGCAGGGTGAACCTCAAACTATGGGACTTCCGTCTGGATCGGAACTGGCACCTGTAGTCCAGGGTTTCGGCTTAAGTTGTAGAAGCCCTACACAACAACTCTCAACCCTACAGCGTAGAGTGCTTGGGGGTTCAGCTTCTTTGGGACTTCAATAAAAAAATCATAACGAGCTGAAGGCTCAGAGGTTGGTGGGTAGAGATCAGACTGAAAAGTCTTCAGCGTTCAGGGCCTGTAGGATTCAACGCTTCAGCATTCCGGCTTTCTGGCTTTTCCGAGCAGGCCTTTCAGATTGAGGCTTGTGGCTGGAGATCTTTCTAGGTGCCTGTTCGCGACCCAGCGGCAAACATAGGAGTCCCGTGTCTGGAATTTAAAACACCAAGTTCTGCAAATGCAGTTGTCAATGTACAAAGGCTTTTTGGGGCGGCTCTCGCTCTGTGTCAACTCAATTTTCGGAAACTTTAGAACCCATGTCCTACCACGAGCTTCTTCAGAAAGACCAGACTGAAAACTGTCGAGAAGATCGCAGACTACAGGTTCATTGTTCTGCATTTGCGCCCGTGAAGTGGATGCTGCTCCACAGCATCGACGGGCATGAGCGAACCGTGGCATAGTTTCTCAGGACGAACCCTTACGGTTTGGGGGTGCCCTGCAGGGTTCTGAGGGTGCAGCTCCAAGTGCTCAAACCCTCACCCATGTTAGAACCATCAAGTCCTGAACCTTAAACGAGCCCAAAGCCATGGGAATGAGGCGATCACCGATCGCGCTTATGGGAGGTTCACGGGAGCTTTCCGATGCCTGCATGCTAAATCCCGACGACGATAAACTTTCCAACAAACATAAAAGTGCCTGGAGAACCGGCGCCTCTTTGAGATCTTGTGGGACTCAAGGGATATGGGCCATGCGTTCCATTTGAAGGTCACTCTCACATGCCAAAGCACGCCCATTGCAACGCGCTGTTGCACGGATTCGACGGTTCAAACCAATCGAAGGCTTCATAAGACATAAGAGTCACAATTCGCAGCTCTCGGTGGCAGGTTGTCGAAGCAATCTTGTGGACTTGGTTTGCTAAACCCAACCCTGCGCTTATGGAACCCAACCCCCTGACTCTTGAATCGAAGTAACGCAGTTCACTAATTCGGGTTAAAACCATGTCCACTGACTAGAAAGGCTTCAGTTGCCCCCATCCAGAGAACTTGCAGGCTTCAAACTTCAGTGCCGGCACCCTGTAACGAGCGCCGGGACAGCCAACCATCGCCTCATGCATCGTCACCTCTCTGCCTGCGCTTTGCAGTCAGGATTGAGGCTTTTGGGTTGAGGGTTTACGGTTTAGAGTTTTGGGGGCCTAAGCAAATCCAGGAGGGTGTGGGTCAAGGCAATGGGGTGTTAGGCTTGGAGCCTTGTTTTTGGCCGTCGAGCCGTGAAAACATGTGAATACGCCTTGTATACTCGAGAGTCCGAGAGTGTCAGCGAGCTACCCGAAGAAAACACATAATCATGCGCTGTAGAATATGAAAGATATTTGAGGGCAATATCCATTCAGATAGACTGCGTTGTCAAGGCAAGGTTCATAGGCGAAAGCAAAGAAGTCCCAGGGCCTACCTGCCACCAGCGACGGGACTTCAAAACACAACATAAAGCCATGAAGGACTGACCCAAGGCTAAAGGCCATATTGTAAGTAAGTAACCCAAATTCTGAAGCTTGAACGCATAGATCAGCACGAAGCCCTCTCCGAGAAAGGCAAAGTCTGAAGCCCGCGAAGCAATCAACCATGTACTTCGATCATCCCCACCCTACGGCGAGCTAATGTGGGAGATGTTGGGTGGGCACTCCCGGATACTCGGACGCGACTCTTGCGGGCTTGTCTGGGCAGTCCATGAATATACTCGGCGGGCGGGGACTCTCTGCCGGCTTCTTCTCTGGCAGTTAAGCACTTCGGGAATACTCGTCAGGATCCTCTGGGAGGTGGGCACTCCAGGGACCAGGCCCCAGGAGTCCGGGCAACACCGGGTGAGGAGGCAGAAAATCAAGAACCAGAAGTCTCCTATCTCTCCTATCTCTGGGATCTCTGCAAACTCTCGGCCTCGGCTTCCGCGGGCGGGTACGGTTCTGAGTGATGGGCTTTTTCCATGTGCAGAGGTGGCAGTGGTCACCTGGGCTAAGGGTGACGTATTTGGGCTTTGGGTTTCGTCGACAAAAAGACATCAGAAGCCTTTAAGAAGCCTTGAGCTCTTAGCTTTCCAAAACTTAAGCCTCTCATTCAGGTGCCTCCGAGCCGCACTGCGCACCGTCTTTGCAGCCCTTGCCTCGGTTTGCGTACTTGCCTCGGCTTGTGTCTTAAGATGGCAGGCCGTTATGGCGGTTTCTGTTGCGACGTAAACCTTCGAAGCCTTTCAAGGGTTAGAAGCCTTGAAGTCTTAGGCTTTGGGCGTGGGGTTGCTCCTCCCATGGAAGTGACACCAGCCTATGTCCGATCGGCATCATAACAAGCGCGGTGATGCCTTGGCTGTTGCTCCTCCTCTTCGGTCTCCTTGCGCTACCGCATCTGCAGACGCCGTAGGTGATGCTGCTTGAAACAGAGAAGCATCGGCCAAGCAGTATGAAGCAACAAGCGGCGTGCAAAGGATTGTTGGAGTGTTTGTGTTTTTGCCGCTGCTGCATGTTATTGAGATCATGGGCTGTGGGCATCCTTCAGCCGGTCGCTAAGCTTCTGCGCCTTTGCTCCTTGGTATGCAGCATCCACGCAAACTGTCGGGCGTGGCTGTTGATGTGCACTGTCATCCTTGCGCTCTGCAGATACAAAACCCCACCTCGAAGAAGGGAACCTTGAGGATTGCGGAGGTCATGCTTCCGCTCTCACGGTCTTACAATGTCTCACGCCGTCACAATCTTGAGATTGTGGCTGTTGTTCCATTGGGGCAATTGGAATCCGGTCTTGGGGGCTGGGATTCAGGGACTGGCGACGGCAACCGGGTATCTTCGACTTCTGTCAAAACGCTGTTGGTGATACGGTGATACAGTACAGCTATGGTCTTTTTTATTCAAGCAGAGGAAGTGGTGGAGAAATCACATATCAAATTCTGTCGCAGCTGCATGCAGGGCTGCATGAGAATGGGTGTCCTCCCAGGCAGGGGTTGAACAACACTTGCAAGGGGAGGGCAAAAATTTCGATCGACCTCTGCATCTGACAGCAGCATGCATAAGTCCCGAGTAAACCCAAGTTGCATATCAGAACAAGACCCGAGCCTAGGATTCTCACGGCAGCCGTGTGAACCAGTACAAATTAGGACAGTAGGACCCTCAGGCTCAATGTGTGATTGTTCTGGCGCATGACTTGGGACGTTCATAGTCTCTAGCAGTAGGGCGGTTTTCAGGTTCTTGCCAGGATTGTCTTTTCAAAATCTTCTCGACGGATCGGAAACAAAGCTGATTAATACCGCATCGCATGTTCGTAGTTCGTTTTGAGCTACGGTCAAAGCACCATGAGCGCCATCAAGAACCCTGCGAAGTTGACCAGAAAGTCTCCTGTGTTTCATTCCTGCTTTGTGCTACTGCTACCTAATACCTGGGAGGACGATAGCAAACTCTGACACAAAGTCGTCCAACACCTTCCGCCTTTCGAAGCAGTGCCCACACCCCCATGCAGCCTTAGCAGGAATCAGGATGAATCAGGTCACCACTGACCAACAAAGCACCCCAAGCCCTGGAGTCCGGAGCCCTTCGTAAACGCACAAGATGCCCCAAAGCCGGCCTTGCGAGCCAGCAGAGATGCTCAAGGGATAGTGTAAGACCCTCTGCTCCACCTTGCCAGCTCTTGGCCCTTCAGGGCCTTTCGGGCTTTCTTGGTTCACCGGCTCTTTGGGCTGGGGTTCAAGGAATAGAGAATATGCAGGTGTGGAGTCCAAAATGACTTTGAACTCCTTTCTACCCCAAGTCACATCCTAAGCCTGAACCCCTTTGCAGAGCCCTGAGTCCTACAACAAATGCGACGCCTGTCCTCAACTACACCCAACAGGCTCTTGACACCACCGAAAGCACATGAGCCGTCCGTTCCGAAGCCCGAACTCTCTGAGCAACCCTTTGCAATGCTTTCCAAGCCCGTACCAGTCCGGCCTCCTCTGGCGATTCGGAATCCCGACCCCGGGACTGGCCAGGCGCCTGGACGACACCGTTGCGAGTTTCGCTTTGAATGTTAGACCCTAAACCCTACACCTGGTCTTTCGGTTCTACTGCCCAAGGTTCATGACTCACGACTTTAAAGTTCGGCTCTCAAGGCCGTAAGGAACACCAGGGATCCCTGCTTGTCACTTTTGGGTTTAGGTTTGGGGCTTATGGTTCTGGGCACACTCCCTGATGCAGACACTGCTGACAGGGTTCGGACGCCGGGCTGTTTAGCACACGACGTCGCTTTGTTGCAGTTCCTTCCCAAGCAGGTTGCCACCTGCTGGTTAAGTTTCGCTTCCGCTACATAGCATCATGCTTGTGGTGGAGGGGTAGTGCAGCCAGACAAAACATACCCAGTCTTCATGTCAAGCGAGATCTACTACACTGCGGCGCAGAAGCCTTGAATGCTCAACCCCAGGTTCTTGCAAAACCGAGTCTTCTTCAAGACAAAATGTTGCTAAGTGAACATGGCTTCACATTTCTCACCAGTCTGTCTTCAAAACCCTCAAACAGGATTGGGAAGGCTTGGAACTTGCCGAACCACAACGGTTCACAGAACAGCCTGCGCAACCTTCTGCAAATAGGAGTCCGTGACGAAGTTGGGCCCAACCTTCCAAAGCTTGGCGGTTGACACTTTCCAAGTGCCACTGGCACACACCCTGCCCATCCAAACCCACGTGCTGCGAACCCCAATCCCACCACGATGAGGGGCCCACAGCGGGACCCAACATCCATGCGAGGCACCAATTGTGCGCGCCATGTTGGCATGCTGTTCAGGGGAATGTCGGAATGTCCTTAAGGCCTTCGGAGAGGGAGTCCGCGTGCGCAGGTCAGCGCGTGGCGCGGCCGCCCTCCCTTTGATGGGCACCTCCGGCACCTCTTCCTTGAGCTGTTCAGTGTAATCAGGGGGTTAACCGGGTTATCGGTCATGAATTGTGCAGCTTAGAGTTTGTGGACAACATGAAGGAATCTCGGGGGGGGGGGGGGGGGGGGGGCGGCCTCCTAGAACCTCTGATTAATAACCCAATCGCTGCCCCCCCCCCTTCAGCCACCTGACTACGTAACCTGGACATATTTGGAAGTAGGTGCGTGAGGGGGGGTGGTGTTTGGTGTTTTATTGGCTGGTGAACATGAGAAAGTAAAGTCCTCCCCCCACCCGGCACCCATTTGGGCTCTGCACTGCACAGCGCACAAGCCAGAACTAAGCTCTCAGACCTGGCCTCGAACTTCACACAACATCAATCCATTGACCGTTGGGGCTGCATGCCTATTGAAACTCACAACTCTCTCCTGCGGTCAAGGGTTCACTACCTTGTAAATCCTTGTAAGAAGTAGCTGCATGCACAGCATTGTCAGCCGAAAGACCTGAAAACCCAGGCGGCATCCCTTTCTGCGCCAGGGCTCCGTCTCCTTAACGCATTCAGCGTAAGACACGGCGCACCTTGGTGATGTGAAGGTAATGTTTGATAGGGGTATGGACCTGATAGGCCGAAGCTTCAGAACTGAGCTTCGTGAACAAAACTATTGCGCGTTTGGGACTTTCGGGGGCTTAGAAACGTTGCTTGGCTTAGGACTCGGGGGTCGGCCTGGGCGGGCTTCATCCACTGCAGGAAGGCCACCGCCACCACAACAACCAGCAATCAGCGGCCAACAACATACTCTGCCTCGCTGGTTCCCTCGACGGCAACACAGCAACGTCGCAACTTAGGATCGTGATCGAACATGAGCACTGAGGCAATGACACGCCAGACACGCTTCCCATGTTGCATTCGGGCTCCCCCTCATGTGGCATGCCCGCACCCAGAAGAGCGCCCCCCAACCCCGCCCCCTTCACGCAGAAGCCCGCAGATTATCTCTGAAAGGGCGAGTTGGGGGGGAGGGGGGGGAGCGGGGGGGGGGGAGAGGCGGGGATGTTCGAGGCAAATTACAGGAAGGGGCGGGTGATGTGGGGCAAGGTGGAGCAGAACCGAACCTCAGCGCAGCTGGCAAAAGAAATCTGCTGAATTGAGACACAGCTGCCGTCGACACAGGTGGCAACGGTCACAGTTGACGCCGTCCTTGCAACCTGGACTCTTTCAGGTGTAGGAAGTCAATTAGAGTTCAGGGTTTTGATATGAGGTCCCAAGCCCCTGCCTTCTGGACTCTGAATACATCTGAATACCCCAAGCCCACGATCCTGCATGAAATTACGGTGATAAACTCATGTGCCATACCATGGTGCAGAAGACTGCAAACTGGTGAGAAGCATCATCTGCAGTCAAGGAGAGGACTAGTCTTCGGGCAAGGGGTGGTTCTGACTTTGTCGCAATTGAACCCAGCTGAACCCTCCACCAATGAACAGCCAGGGACCTTTGGATTTGGCGGCGTACCTGAGTTTTTAAGCCGCGGAACGAAAGCAAAAGGATTCTCCCCCGCAGTTCTCCCTGCTAAGCCCTTAGCCCCACATTTTTGACCTTGCGACCGTCGCGACACAAGCATAGAGCACTACTCCAAAACCCAGGTGCTTGCATGCAGGCGCGCAGTTATACGGATGGCCCTGGGAGCCGATGGAGACACACCATTTGTACCTCGATCGCATCTTGACAAAGGTGTCACAGACTGAGGGCAACAGGCGAGGTGCTCGGTAGGACTTTAGCCACGGCTGCAAGAGTTTGGTAGTTGTAGGTGTGTTGTGGAGGGCTTCGGCTGCAAACGCTTAGCTCGCAGGCTGTTAGCGATTCAAGGCCTCAGTGTTTCAGGGGCTGCAAGTTGTCCTGAAATTGGATCGTTCACTACGGCTGCTTTGTTGTGGTTAGTTTGTTTGCGGTTGCTGTGTGTGGCTTTGATGCTTTATGCTATCAGGCCCCCTCTGCTCAGAGTTTCGGCAACTTCAAGTCCCAGTTCTCACTCGAGTCTTCTGGCCGTGGCCTTCTGAAGCAGAAGGTGAAGAGCACCGGAGGGCCACTTAACTAAGCGCTCACGGAGGTGCTTGCTCTTTCCGCCTAAGGCTTAGAGCTTCAGGGGCGCTTGGTATCTAAGGCGTCACAAATCGTAATCATCTAAACCATGTTGCAAAACGGATATCAGTTAAGGCCTCGGGGTTCCGAAATGCCTGCCGTCTTTCCGGTGGTTAGGTCAAGCTAGGGGAGCTGGGGCGCGCGGATTTGGAACTGATCATGGAAGGCTGACCGCACATATCATCCGGTCTGCAAGGTGTGTGCAATACTGCATCGCAGCATTGCATCACTGCTGAAACCTGGATAGCAAGCAGAATCTCGGGGTACCGTGAGGTGGGTCTTCCATATTCAACGCGACTGTACGGTAGCAAGCAGCAAAAAGCAATCGGCCGAGCCACAAACACACAAACCCTGAAGGATAAACCTCCAGACTCTAGATGCTCAATAAGGCCTGGCTGCTGCATGCTCGTCGGACCGTGCTCAGCTTCGGCCACCTCACGCACCCCAGCCCAATCTCACGGAATCTACAGCTCAGGCACCGCATCTGCAAGATGGTGGCGAGGCACGATGGGCCAAGGGAAGATGGCTGGCACAGCAGGCCTCGGTATGTTTTTTTGGCTTTTGTTGTTTCGAGCTTTGGGTTCAGGGTTTTGCGCAGGGCCCGGGCAGCTCGAGAGCAATATTCGTCTGGTCAAGCACTCGCGAAGACCCATACTAACTAGTAGGAACATGAGTCGACGTGGGTGGGTCCAGAGCATCGTTTGTCCTTCTACTTCCTCGGGGATCGAGCTTGCCCACTGGTCTTGCACTGTGTGCCATTTAACACACTGCAGCGAAGCTCCAGCATCTCCGACCCAGCTATACAGCAACACAGCAACTTTGTCCAACACCTTCTCTAAGCCCGCCAAGCCACCAAGCCCCAGTCCATCCAAAGCCCCCATGCTTTTGAACCCAGAAAACCAGCACTCCTCTGAAAACATCCTGAGACTAGAATCTAAACCTTCAGAAGTCCAGGTGCATGGGCATGATCGGCTCTGGTGAGGGCGTTCGGAATCGCAGCCCTCAGCTCGCAGCTGATGATGGACTTCGGGCTTAAGCCGGAAACGAGCTTTCTTGCCCAGGCGGTTATTTAAGAGTTTTGGGTCTTAAGATTGCGGGGTGGGGCTGAGGGGTTTGAGCATTTTACCTGAAGATCCTCAAAACACCTGAAGCCAACAACGGAAAGCCTGTTGCACAACAGTCCAGGACGTGCAAACTTACCGAGACATCTCACGAACCTTCTTGCCTGCTCATCGCATCCCGAACTCAGCACCTTTGAGCATCAGACCGAGCCAAACCGGCCTAACCCACAAGGAAGTTGTATCTTCGTAGATATCAAAACAAGAAAGGCTCGTAATTACCGGTGTTTTCCAGACTGACTTAAAGGTGCAAGTAAGTAGAAGTGCATAAACGCAAGCTCGACTAATCTGGATGTGGATCATTGGGAGGGGGCGGGTGACCATGCATGTCTTGTGTGTGTGCTTCAGGGTTCACGGGATCATTCTGCCTCTGCCTGGGCTGGGGGTATTGTCGCCCTCGTCATCCTTCGGCGCATCGCGTCCACGCTCCTTCGGCGCAGTGGCAGCGTACCAAATTGAAACTCTGAGTCTAAGGCACTGCCGGTATAGCCCACATGGGACATGGGGTCTTGGGCCTCAAATACAGCACATTGTGAGGCCCACGACGAACCCATCTGGAAGCACTAGGACACGATCTCGGAGAGCGGGTCAAGTGGCCAAAGTTGAGGGATGCTTCGAAGCTTGAAGGGTGGGGCCCTTGACAAGGTACCTGAAAGCCTTCAACCTTTTGGTGCTGTTTGGGCTTCAAGGTTCGGAGACTTCGCACTTGCGGGTAGATTTCGACTTCTGCAGCATTGGAGTTCTTCAAAACAGCCTTGCACATGGCGGTCCAAAAAACAACACGTTGCTGGTGGATTGGGGCTTTAGACGTGGGGCGTTTGGACCTTTTCTTTGGCTTGTAAATCAACTTGTGAGGATGTGAGGCTTTTGGCTTTCGATGCATGACACGGATGTGGAGAGAAACGCAAAGGATGGCGGAGAGCGCAAACCTTAAGCTGTGAGACATCTAAGCCATTCTAAACCTCTAAGCTTTGCCAGCCGTACTGCTAAAAGAGGCCAAAGACGGCCTACCCTCGCTTCATCGGCTCCTCGGCCGGCGCTTTCTCTTCGAGGAGCTCTGCATAAGGGGCACACTTGGGAAGACCTGCATGCGCACGTAGCCACGCAGTCACGTAGTCGCATAGTCACGTATTGGCCCATCGTGCCATATATATGTGCCCTCAAACAGCGAAACCTATGCCTGCGCAACCAAAACACGCAAGTGACACTCATAGGAACGCGATCCACAAGCCACTTCAGGAGGAACTTGCGCATGGGACTGGTGCGGGAACGGCATTCCGAACACCACGAAATGCTAATCCCCCTGGCCCTAGAACGGATGAACGAAGCAAGGGTATGCAAGAGCCCGGAAGTTTGCAAACTTCGCGACCCCGAGCGATTGATGATGGAAGCATACAGCGGGTACGGGGCGGAGGAAGGAGGGCGATCTGGACCACGGAACGTGCGCAGGGACTTGTCGAGAGTGCGAACTGTCACGTGGGACGATGCCAAGACCCTCGTGCATTGATGTGTGTAGATTCTCTGGTTGCCAAAACAAGATGCCAAGCCACCTCTCCAAACCAAACATCTTGGGTTTAGGACATTAGGACACTAAGCTGAGCCCAATCTGTAAGCAGATGGCTTTACAGATCTTTATAGGGTCACAAGCTTGGGACATCTGAGGTCTTAAGGTTGGCATCCATTATGGCGAAGAAGCCAGGCTGCAGTTTCTGTCAGCCCTGTGTTCCTAGGCCATAGGCATTAAGACCTGAACCCTATTACCATAAACCCTTAACCCTAAACCCTAGAACCCTAAAACCCTAAACCTGCACTGCAGAGGTTGCTCCGAGCGGCCCCTCCGCGTGGGAGATGGATCTGGCGTACGCCACCCGCGGCGGAGGGAGGGGAGCCCCCGCTCCAGCGTGCTGAAGACAAGCTTCAGGTTCCTTGGCGCTTCTTGTTGAGGGTGTTTCGGGTCGGGGCCCAGGTTTGAAATCTTAAAACAAACAAAAAAGGCAATTCAGGCCGGCTCCCAGACCTGGGACAAAGCTTTGGGGTTCTCAGCAAGGGAAGCTTGCGAAGAGGTTTAACAGCATCCACCCGAAACCCAAACCCAAACCATACAGGTGCGGCTGCTGGTTGCGAGCTCAGGCGCGATATCTCGGGATGGTTTTGGTCGAAGTCCTACAGAGCTGTTGGGTTCCAAGTTCAAGCAGGTTTTAGATGTTCTTTTCGGCTTCGGACTTACAACTTCGCCGTTGTTCCGCACTGTTTGGTTTCAGGTGACATTTTGGGCGTGGAGCTTGGTAGAGAGCGAGAGAGAAGGCTGCTTACCGTGCTTGTGCGCATCCTCTTTTCGCGACTTCGCAGCTGAATGGCTCCCGTTTGAGAGTTCCAGGGGTTGGGGAGGTTCCGGGTATCGTGCGTTTTGTGTTCGCAAAAGTGTTTGTAAAGCGTTCGCAAGCGTCCGAAAGCGTTTGAAAGCGTTGCAAAGCGTCCGAAAGGTTCGAACGTCCGCGGTGGCGCGAATCGAGCGGTACTTGGGAAGTCCAGCGCTTTGGCACGTTTTTGGTCGAAGCATGCCTCAAAAGCGCAGACCGTCACGAGGATGATGCCTGTGAGGGGAGCCACGCCATCCTCGTTTTTGACTATGGTTGTTCAAAACGTGACAGTCACGAGGATGAGGCGTGTGGGTGGCGCCATCCTCGTGACCGTCGTCACTTTTTGAGCTTGGTTGCCGTTGGGGGGCCCAAACTGGAGAACAACACGAGGATGAGGCGACCGGGTGGCGCCATCCTCGAAACCTGAACAACCAAAAGCCAAGAACATCTGCGACCTCCTCATCCCTCGACGACGTGTCGTCGAGCATTGACTCGGCGGAAGGCACCTTTTTGGAGGGAAGTCTACATGCTTAGGGGCTTCTTTGCAAGTTCACACTGGAAGGATTTGGGGTTAGGATTGTTGAGGAAGTACATGTGTTCTTGCTTGGGCTGGGGGCCCTTATCCCCCCCACCCCCGCTGGTGCATGCTTCACTGGCTCGAATCGGCATGGTAGACGAAAAAGGCTTCTGACAGTGACATGTGCCGCGTAATCACATCAACACGTGTTCTACTGCCTTGTCACTAACTGCAAGCGTGCAAGCCGCCCCAAAAAAAAAACTGAGGAATGGGGCTGGCGCTCTGCAGCTGTTATGCCGCTACCGTCATGCTCATGTATGGTATTTTGAAGCTCGTTTTACGATCGGATCAAGCATGTGGCAAAAATGGGCTCTCGAGAACAGGGATTACCCAAATAGAGTCTGTTACAAAATCCTTCCCAAAACAACCTCGCTCAATCTTGTCCGAACTCTGTTTGCAGCCCAGGCCCTCAGGCTCAAACCCCCTCTGGATCTACTCTTCCCACCCCTCCGCTCCCCCAACCAGCCCTCCTGGATCGGGAATGAAAAGAATGCAACAGACCCAACAAAACTGGACACAACAAACGATGTGAATGTGCTGATTCAAATTACATTTAACTTGCGGTCCAGACTGTTCGGTACTAGGACTGGAATCAGGTAGCCTCAAGACTTCAACCCTGTCAGCGGCCTGTGTCATAAAAGAGGCGGACATGTGCAAGCCTCCGATCTCGCCTCCTCCTTGGCTTAGGCTTCAGGCCTTGAAAAAAAAACAAAGATCCGGGGCCTTTGGTTTGATGGCTTCTGAATGCAGCAAAGCACAAACGATCCCTGATTCTGAGAGTCTATTGGCATTCTCGCTTCGGCCCCGATTTCAGGCAGTTGGTCTTGGGTGTCTAGGCTTCACGGGAGTCAGAGCCAGGGCTCATTCACGTGATGCAGGAATGTCATCATATTATGGCTTGCAGGTTTGGGACGGCTTCCAGTTGAGGACAAGGATGCCTCCAAGAGCCACCAAGTGTCTTGGAGATTTGACTGCCACCGGGTCGACTACCATCGCTTTGATACCTTCTTTTCTCTACCCTTCCTACGAGAAAAAAACAACTAATCCTGCAGCAACCATCACGGCAGCGGGAGGCCATGCGCATGCGACATGACAGGGTTACGAAGCATTGGGAGCGAGCAAGAGTAGGAGACCGTGTGAGGCAGCAGGGGACGACACGTCTTGTTCGAAAATACAACGATGGAGAGAATAAGGTGCCAGCCAGCTTGGACAAAAGACGTAGCCATGTGACCGCGAGGCTGGCAAGCGTGGCTTCAGCATTGACAGAACTGAAGAATCAAATGCTTACGAAGTGCAGCATGCAGCGCTTACAAGCTCTCCCAGTACCAACATGCGACGCAGCTGGCGTGTGTCGGTCGAGACTTTGAAAACTGTTTGAACCACACTCTGCAGGACACCTAAGGTCGGCAACCTTACGTAAGCTTCTGGAGCAGTGGTGTCCATGGCAACGCCGAGGGATCGCCATCCCCGAGCCCTAAACCCTAGCCCCCAAATGGAACCCGAAACCCAAATTTGGGACTGCCACAGCTGCATAATGTGAACTTGGAAGCTAAAGTCGCGTCTTTTCAGCCATTGCGCCCGCCATGCAGCGCCCAAGCAGCCCCTTCCCACCCTTTGCGGTAGCCCTAAGTTTGATTCAGAACGCAGGTGGCGGTGGAAGTCGGACTGGTGCAACTTGTGGTACATAAACTGAGAGGCATGGACTTGTAAGTGTGATGCGGGAAAAGGGTGGTTTGGAAGTGCAAAAACACAACACGGCCAGGAGATTTATAACAGGTGACTAGTGGTTAAACTGAAAACCGGAGGACAAAGGTGTGGCCCTGCAACGCTCTTCTTAACATCAACACACCCTGGACGTGCCGCACGTTCCGAGATGTTGATCTATGTTGGCCCCCAATCGTGGCCTGCCACGCTTCTCGCAATGTTACCCTATTTCGATCTTCAACATGATCACACGAGGTTCCCCTTGCGCCCCCCTCCGCCCGGCCACCCCCCCGCACTTCTTTAGTAAAACATCCATCTACCTTTTCTGAACTACGAGCCATTTGTGGGCTTTAAAAGGTTTCTTTCGCTGTAGCACAATGAATATTCAAAATTCAAAACCGAGAAACAAGGTAGGGCTCCATATACCCACGTAGTCCTTTGGATTTGAAGTATTGTAGGGATACCCCTAGGCAAGTTATGCGTTTCCAGAAATTGTGTTTTCTAGACATCGTATATAATTAGTTTTCTCATTCGTGTGCAGTTAGACATGGTTTTCGATTTTAAGTAGTAATGAGCATCAACTTTATACCTCATGCTTCAATTTGTGCTGCAATTGAAAATCAACTCGCACTAGAATATGTAATGTGTATGCACTAAATACGTCATTGGTGCACCAGACTTGCGCTTTGGAATTTGTTTATGGTTTGTGAATGTCCGAGCACTGCGGCTCTCACGAGGCATGATGCGTGATGCGCTTCTAGAGAAACTGTGCATTTGATGGCTTTGTGTTTTTTAGACCTAGTATACAAGTGGTATTCAATTAGAACTTCAGTCGGAAAATTTCTTCTGTTATCACACCATAAGTCGTAGTTCGGAAGACCACACCACATTGGGGGGGGGATATAAGACTCCACGCAGGGCAGGCGAGGCAGGGCTAAAGATATGCCACAGTACAAGGCAGGGTGCCCTAATCTGAAAAGAGGTTTTGGCTTTGGGAGCACTGGTGGAGGAGCTGCCAAGAGCACTTTAGGCAGAGTCTCAGCGGCGGAAATAAAGCAAGCGAGGCTGCAGGCGCACTGCAAGCTTCGTGTCTAGGGCTTTGGGTTTATGGGGGGGTGAATGAGTTTGAGGTTGCGGGCTTGTGCCTTCAGGCCTAGTGCTGGAGCGGTGGGTTGAGGATATACAACTATGGCTAGTGTATGCCAGTGTACGAGTGTACGTTGCCCGAAAAGTTGAGTGACGTTGCCTTGGTTCTGGGCAATGCGACCATTCCATGGAGAGGGATGGAATCTTTGAGGTTGCTAGCTGGAGTTGAGGGGTTGGGCTTAGGCTGATCCACTTGTTTCTAAAGCCCTAAACCCTAAGCGGGCATTCAAGGTTGGGGAGGCATCTTCAAGCTTCCACTGATTTAATCCTGCAGCTCTAGGGCTCTAGGTCGACTTCTGGAGTCTTCTTTTCTTCTTCTGTCGAGTGTACCGAGCTTAAGGGAAGGTTTGGGGGCTGTAGGCTATAGGCGGATTGGGCCCTCACGCGAAGACTGTTTCTAAAGTCCCCGTCAGCTCAAAGAGCGCCTCTTGAACTCGCAGCTCCTGTTGGACCTTGCCAGGAAGCCCGAGTCATGTGTGGAATCGGCTGTATGGAACAGATGAACAAACATCGCAAATCCTGAACTCAGCATCGTGCAACCTTATAGGCCCTAAACCCCAACCCCCCAACCCTCCAAAAATCCTGAGCTGTCGCCCCCCAACACCCCCCCCAACCCAACAGTGGAAGGCGCCTTGTTGTCGAGCTCGTGCATGGTGTTGACAAGCTTCTCATTGCTGGGCAGCTTCAAGCAGTCGTTGCCTCTGCGGCTCGGGGGTTGAGAGGGGTTCTTGACTTGGAGCTGAAGGCCCCCACAGCCCCACAGTGTGCCTTTCGCTCTTTTTGTTGGGTTGGGGTCCGGGTCGAAGGTCCAACAAACACGAACGGGCCGGGTCCGAGGCCCAAATTTCAAAACACGAAGGCCCTAATTGTTGCTTCGTACTGCCCTAATTGTTACTTCGTACAAAACATGCTTAGTACTGAGCATGCTTAGTACTGCGAGACAATGAAAGCGCGGTGGCAAACAGCTGCTGAAAATGTAGGCGTTTCCTGCGTGATATTTACGACCACTTGAATAGTGCGGGAAATGACTGTGTTTCTTGCACCTTTGAGGCAGGCTTGCATCACATTTTCCGAAAACACGTGTGCCAAATACTCAGGGTGTCTCGCACAACAGCTGCCAGCCAACCGACGAGCTCCAAAACATCATCACAAATCGCTACTTTTAGTCCAAGTATGCCTGAACAAAGTCATCACCAGCTTCATCACCGTTCAGACCTCAAGGCTGAACCCCAAGCTGTCTGCGCTGAACCCAGGATACGAAGCTTCTGGCCCACCAAGCCCGCAACCCGTCTGACAACTTAGGGCTTCGGAGTTCAAGACTCGACACTCCAGTGTTGTAGGGCCTTTACCCCAAAGTCTTGGGCAAGCGAACAGGCCATCAGCCGAGCAAACTGAAGCGTAGCTGGGCTCATGGCCATCGATCAGGCTGTGCAGGAACTGCCAAAGGGCGCGGAAGCTGTCATCAAGTGAAATAGTAGCCAGACAGCATATACATGCACATGACTGAGAGCTTATGCCTCTACGCCTAACATCACCTGACTAAATAGATCTTGATGAGGCCTGAAGTCCCAACCCTGAAGCTGCATAATCTGCATATGATGCATATGCCTTAAACGGCCCTCAGCTGTTGAAGACAGCCTGTGCACAGCTTTGAGCTGAAGGCTGGGAAAGCCGGGCCCCAGCAGAGAAGTGCCTAAAGCCGCAAAACCCGCAAAACCTCAAAACGAGGGCTCCGGGCTGCCCAGCTGTGCCTCGGGACTTTAGACCTCTTGGGTTTCAGTCTCAGGTTGTTGGGAGTTTCAAGGGGGGCCTCATTGAAGAGATTCCGCTGCAGCGAGTCGCCTTCCGCAAAGGCTTTGAGCAGCCACCTGATCAAAAAGAGTTGTTCCGACCGGTTGTTCAACAACTCCTGCAGAGCCCGAAGCCCCAACAGCCTCTACACCCCCGAAAAGCCAGCCCGCGAGGCCCTGATAAGCTAACCCTACGGCCCTAAGGCGCCAAGGCCCGCCCTTTCCTTGTAGCCCTTACATGCAAAGGAGGACCTTCCCCTTTCTCGAAGCCGCAAGCACCACCACGAACACACTATTGCTGCAGGAGTTCTGGGACTTGGGCTTCAGGATAATTTGGCAGAGCCCTAATGACAACATGACCCATTCGTTGCCAGACGGTTGTTTAACACCCCACCACAGAAGAGCGGTGCGCCTTAGCGCCTCGAGGCACAGCTCCTCCCCCAGGTCATTCCTCACGAGTGTGAGATTCTAGTTCCAGTCTGGCCGAGGTTGGCCCCTAAAACCCTCTGAAAAATATTCGCCAAGCGCTTCAAAGGGATTAGGGTAAGATCCCATTGTGGAATTCCTTGCCGCCCAAACTTGGCAACTCTCGGGCATTTTGGCTTTAGGATCTCCCGTGTGTGGTCTCGGGTCCGATGGCGTACAGTTTCCAGGGCTGCAATTTTGGGAATCGGGTCAGGTAGCTTCATTGCTCTTCGGTTAAGGCAAGATTCTTGATCGGAGTGCTTTTGCAGACTCTCTTTGGAGACTTAGGCCTCAGGATGGTAAGGGTCTCTTCGGGCCTTGCATCGACCGCTGGACACCCCTCTGGAATCTGGAAGCCGAGATCATGAAAACCCCTGAAGCTCTGAATCCGAAACTGCTTGCTGCTTGCGCCCCAGGAGCACAGCGCACGCGAGAGCTCCTTGCCTCCGAGTGCTACGCAGGCGAGGGGCACCGCAAAACTTTGAACTACTCAAGGGACTTCAGACGACTGTGGTCTCTAACTTATACGTCCTGAGGTGTCTTGGTGGAAGCACTGTTGGCCAAGGCTTGCGCAGAAGAGGCGAAAGCAACAAACCTGGTATTGGTGAAGCCTGGCTGCTGAACTGAACCCCAACACGGCATGCAACCCTTAAGCCCCAAAGCTCAGGCCGCAAATCTCAGGCCACTGGGGGACTTAAGCTATGGCTCGAAGGCTTCACATTTCGGGCGCTTGAAGTGGCTTAAAGCCTAGAAGGAACCTGAACATGCGAACTGCGAACACAGCGTGGAGCTAGTCGTGCTTTTGTTGAGCCCCTGAGGCCTCCCTCCTCCTTCCTGGTAGCTTACGTATGTCTCCCCGGAGTCTCCCCGTCTCAAACAAATTGGCACCAAGGCAACACAACAGGCCATCAGTTCCTCTTGACATGCTTCGATTCTTGGGGTCCCCGAAGTGTCCCCGAATACCGCTCTCAACCAATCAATAGACAAACTCTACAGAACAAGCCTAAACCAAAGGCTCTGAGGACCTCACACCACCCCATCCGCAACCCCCACCTCGTTTTAAGGAGCATGTAGGGCAGGTGGCTTGATGGAAACACTGCAGATTGTGCTGCCCGGTGGCTCGAGCAGCTCATCCACGATGGCGAAACCCAGAGCCGCGTCCTTGACGGTTTGCGGGAGTTCTTTGAGCTTCGGAGGAGGGTTCGGCCTTCCACGGTGCACAGAAATCTCCGACAATTCAAGAAAAGCTCCTTGAACCGAAGCTGCCGCAGACAAGCCCGTTGCGAAGTTCAAAACGCTCAAAAGAATCCACGCATGTGCCCCAAGATCACACGCCCAACACCCGGATCCGGGCTCGGCCCGGCGCCGTTGCCGGTTGCAGCATGAGTTCGACCACCTTTCTGTACCTGCAGCGTGCAGCAAGGCCTGAACGTACCACTTAAAACTCAAGGCCCCTGACCCCTGCGTCCAAGATTTTGCAGAAGTCTAAGACCTAAACCCTGTGCCAAGAAACAAAGCATTCCTGACGCGCACATAAGAATTTTTGCAAGAAAACACATGTTAGAGCCATTTCAAACTCTGCGATACACCAGTGACCACTCGCTTTCGACGCGAGCCTCACCGGCCGCTCAAGCTTGAACCCTAAGGTGAATCAGGATTTTGTTTCGTTTCCTCTCCTTCTTGTCATCGGTGTGGAAGACTTGGTTTCGGCAGGGAAGTGGCTTTTGGCCTCTCCAATGATGTCGTCTTTTCAGTCAAAATTGACCGTTTGCAAAGAATAGAGGCAAGTGTCCCCTGCAAACCATTTCCTCCCGACAAGCGCTTCTTTGAGTCAAGCACAGGTCGCTGTTCGATTCCCGAAATTTCAGTTTCCAGCACAAGTTAAACATGCTAAGCCCCTTACAGTTTCGGGCTTTCGTGTGTTAAGTACTCAGGTTTCTCGAAGTGCCCTGTCTAAAGCACTTCAAAGCCTGAGTTCTGAATCGTGTAGCAGCTCTCCGTTAGAACTTGAAGTCGCTTTGTGAACAATTCTAAGTGTGGTTCCATGTTGCAGTCAGGGCGCGGCTTTTCAACCTCTCCATGTGTGATAACCGTTTAAACTGAACAACGATCTGGGAAAGGAAAATGTGTGATAACCAGGCTACCTGCTTAAAAAAACATTGTACCTTCCAAAGTGAGCCTCTCCGGAGCATTCAAGATTTGGAGAGTATCCAACTTTCAGCCTCAGCCTCTCACGCCCAAGTCACCGACATGCTAAAGCCTTGCTGTAGACCTCACTTCCGAACAGGGGCACTCGAACTTCCTGAAGAGGTACTCCACTTTGGATTCGCGCTTCCTGTGAGAGGTGTGTTGACTGGGAGTCTGGGTCTAGCTTGGCACAAGGAGGGCGAGACAGCCAGAGAAAGCAAGAGAGAGAGAGAGAGCGACAGAGAGAGAGAGAAAACAAAAAAGTGAGAGCGGGAGAAAACAGCTACTAGTAGCAAGCCAGACAGAGATCGAGAGAGCGCGAGAGAGATGTATCAACACATAGATAGACAAAGACATGCTTAGACAAAGAAACAGATGGAGCGAAACTATGGAGCGAAATAGCTGGACATCAGGTAAGCCTTGCTTCAAGTCGGCTTCATCAATGAAAGTCCACGTGTAGTCTAGCGCAAATTCCATACTGTGGATCAATGAAACAGGTGCCAGGTGCCAGGAGTAGTTTTGTGCAAGGCGCCCAAATGACACTCGAGGAAGGCTTCTGGGGCTTCATACAACTGTAATCAGGGTTTGAGCAGGTTGGGTATGTAAGAAGCATGACCTCAAGAACCCGAACCCCAGACCCTACTAGTAACTATAACTGAAAGGCTCGAGTAGCTTGGGCGTCTGCTGGTCTTCTTTAGACAAAAACATTTCTCAAAAAAAGCTGTGACTGTGTCCATCCCAGGTGGCGAGACGACGCTCCACGAGCAAGTATGTCACTTCGCGACACAGTCAGGCCCTTGGGCTGCAATAAGAGCATAGCTCACTGAAGTCATGGTCAAAGATGAGAAGGAGCTTGCCGCATGCAGTGCAGGTCCTCCGCGTCTGCGGTCGCTCGATGACCTCGGCACATGCAGTCAAGGAGTACATGATGCTGGAGTATGCTGCAACTCACTTCTAGGCTGCTTATTGAATCAATATCCACAGTCCCGTTTGTACACATCAACTTAAGCAAGGTCCCCCCAAGCCTTCTCCCGCCCCAGGCCAGAGGTCTGAAGTTTGGCCCGAACACCACTTGAAGGGTTCAAATTTCGAACCGACCATAAACCCGATAGTCTGTGGAGCCTACAATTCCGCACCGCCCCTGATATAAAGCTGGAGCCTCGTCCTCCTCCTCAGGCTTGTGGAGGTGTCCACGAAGGTGGCCTTGCACAGTCCGGGCTTAATCTGCTTTCGGTCCAGGTCCAGGAGGTTTGGAGTGGGGAGTGTTGGGCCCAGTTTGGGTTCTGGGATGTTCTGGGCTGATTCTTCTGAGAGTCGAACGAGGCTGTGTTGGACTCTGTGGGGCATGCACGTTTAAGAAGCAGATCACTGCTGATACAAGACGAGCCCCTATTCAAACTACCCCGGGTTCCGGGCGGCTCCAACCTTCGCAAAACCTGTATCTTGAATTTGAATGGCTCACGCCCGCAAAACCATTGAATACGAATGCCCTCAACCACTAAGTCCTACCCCCTGCCTCTCGACCATGACAATGTGACAATTCCCAAGCCCTACCCAAAGTTCTACAAGAGTTGCATGGCTCGAGTCGTAATCTTCAAACATACCAACATTCTCACTCCACGTAAACCAGATGCGGCGGCAAGAGATCCAAACAGTTTGTCTGAAGCGAGAGGTCTGAGAGTCTCAGGCAATTCGGGGTGGTACTGCTTCGGGCTTCGGGTGCCTGGAGCAGGGCTTAAGGGACTTGGACCGTGTGCATATACTTGGACTGCATGCTGCCTTCCTCGCGTTTCCACTTCCGGCTCTTCTGCAGCTCGGGTTCGTCAGACTGGGCCAGGGCCAAGTGAGTAAAGCGTTAAACCAACATCCAAGCCCGAGATCTCTAAAGGACATCAGCAATTTTGGGGCTACAAGGTGCCAGGCCTAAGTGAAAAGCCCAAAATGAAAGAGAAACTCCTGGAAACTTAAGGCCAGCCGACCGGAAAAACTTAGGGCTTTGCTGCTGAGAACTTTTAAGCGTTGAGCCCTAGAAGCCGAAACTGAGGCCAGTCCTGCACCCTGCCTTTCTCCAAACTCTAGAACCCAAACGACCCTGAACTCGTTTTGCTGGCGGGGCTGGAGGCATCTGACCCTTAGTAGCACTGAGATGACAGATGGCTTGGGGCTTGGCATCTCTGTCGAGATTCTAGTAGATTCCAGTCCCAATATCCTTAGCACCCAAATCAGCCAAGCCTTTGCCCATACCAATACATGGAAGGGTGATGAGACTCTCTGCAGGACTTGTTAGGTCTTAGGAAGGCCAACCCTTTGGCCTTCTTTCGGCTTCTTTGGGCTTCTTGGGGCTTCTTGGGGCTTCTTTGCGACCAATTTGCAACCAATCTGCATTTGCAACCGAGGCACCCATTCGTCGTCCTCCTTGTGCTGGCCCTTGCCTGCACAACAACACGAAAACGGCCCTCAGCCCGAAGAGTCGGCCGTTCCCCGATACGCATTGGATGATGGCTGAGGACAGCATCCAAGATCCTCGATGCCCCTATACTCCATAACTGCTTTGGAGACAGAAACGCCGAGGTCGCCCTCACCTACATGCCATGTCCAACCGAACCGCAACGCAACTTCTAGCCCGACAAGCCTCCCTTCAATCAATTGAGGCGGGTTTACAGTGTTCTGGGCTTTGGATGTTCAAAAGATGCAGTGCATCTGAGCTTTACTAGGGACCCGCCCGAGGGGCTTCGGAACGAAGAGTGCCTGAACGACCAAACCTCACCCCCAACCCAGCCGATGCCACGGCCGCCACGCATTCTGCATTTAACGTTTAGTTCGGTCCAGCTGCCATCCACACGGTGGATCTGCTTTGGCGTTACCTTGGTGGGCAAAGCGGGACATTGCAGACATATAGTCACATGCAGAAGCTTATGCGCGTGTGAGTTTGGCCTCTGTAAGTTTGCTGTGCAGAGGCTTGAAGCAAAGAATGCTTCAAACGGTCGCCAAAATTTCGCAAGACATCCCTGGGGCCCCTGAACGTTCTAAGCTTCCAGCAGAACAGGGTCCAATTTGACATTTGGAGTTAGCTTGCCGCCGTGGAATCCCAAACCCCACCCTGACCCTACAACACACAAGCTTGTAGCCTGCTAAGATCCACCCAGTTGCCAGTTTGCCGCTGGCCACGGGCTGGCAGAAGCAAAGGAAAGACTTCAGGATTCGATGTAGGGCGTAGGATTGGGATTAGGGTTATATACGGGTGTTCGGGCTTGGCATCTTCAGTGGTGAGGTGGTGGGGCCCCGACAATCACGGGGCTGAGGGGATCACTTACGACATCTGACGAATGCACTTGCCAGCGACAATGCATATAAGCCACTTTTTGTGGAACGAGCGTCAACACTCTCAAGCAATATACAGGGCTTCACGTGTCCTGATGCGGCAACGAGTAAAATCCCCCAACTTCCCAAACCCTCGAAGCCCGTCATTCCAAGGGTTGCCCATGCTTGCCCCAGGCCTTTTTCTCGGCCGCAGCCTCCCACAGGCATGGGTGGGCGGGTTGAGGACCCGAGATAACTAGGTTTGGCATGAAAAAGCTCGCGCCTGGCGATGTTGATGTTCCGGGGGGAGGGGAGAGGAAGGGGAGTAGTTTGGGGCGTGGGGCTTGACTGGTCTTAAATGCAGGTGCTTGGGTCTGGGTGATGTTTGAGTGGAGAGCTCAAGATTTCAATGCATCCGTTCGGTAGCAACAGGCCGATGTAGCTCCTCCGCAAGTCGGGCCCGGTGCCTGGGTTTCGCCTTCTGTGCCCAAACCTAGCCTGCTTCAATCACGGTATTCCTGTGTGGGGTTTTGGGGCTTGACCTGCTGGCATTTCCAGGCATCGGGATCAATCAGCGCTTTCCAAAACACTTTCGAAGTGTGAGTCCAGTGAATCGACTGCCCATTGTCCCCAATTGCCCCCCCCCCCCCCCCCTCGGCTAAAGCACCTTCCGGCTTCGGATTAGCCAATTGCCATCATCGAGCCCGATCTGCATCAAAGTATGCGTGAGGTTGAAGCATTGGGGGCTTTGACTTAAGAAGTGCTGAACGGGCTGTTGCATGGGCTGCATGCAAGACTTTGCGATGTGTGTGGCCTAGATTCGTGGAGTTGCATCAATCTTGGCTGCTTCCGGGTCCTGAGGTGGTTGAATCTCTGCACCGAACTCAGCACATAACTTTCGAGACCATGACGACTACATGACATGACAACCTGTCGACATCGAAACTAACTCTGCTTGGTCGACACTTATAGCCTTGCAGTCTTAGACCAGATAGGCTGGCTGTTTGTTGTGCGTCGTCTCGGCAGAACGCAGATTTTCTAGAACGTCGAACCCTAAAGAAGAGCGTTGTAGGAGCAAGGTGCTCCCAGTCATAAGATGCTGACTGGCACTCTGCAATTGGATTTCTAGCTACGAGTACAGCCAGTTCCCTGATGAGTCTGAACTAAAAAGCCCTTCCGAGCAGCCCCCTGAACCCCCAAACTCTAAACACCTACAGCTCAGCCCATGGCCGCAAAGCCAGAGTCATCCGGACGCCAGGCGACGCAGGTCGCTGGCCCTGGGAGCCTGAGAAGCCAGCTCAGGGAATTAGGCGTGTGTCAGGGTATATTGGCATTTTGCGGGGTGCAAGATTTTGATGTCTGGGCTTCTCTTCTGGGAGCTTCTGAGGCGGCAGTGTCAGGGCGCCTCAAAACTCCCAACCAACACGAAACCGGCGAGAAACCAAAATCTGCTCACACTCGTAGTGGCAACGTCGAATGTTCCGCTGCTGTTGAGCCCTGCACCTGTATGTCCATACATGCGACATCGTTGCTGCATGGTAGACCTGTCAGGGGGTGCAACAGGATGCTGGGGGCTGAGGTCTTGAGGTCTAGGCCTCGCCTAGGCTTTAAAGCTTTTGGTGTCTCAGGTTGCGGAAGGGGCGACTTTAACAGGTACACCCAATATGCAACGAACAACCCCTGGACCATGCCGACCTACGGCCTGCTAAAAAGGTGCAAAGAAGTGTGCGAATCTATACTGCGCCCGGCCCCTCACGGACACTGAAACACGGTCGAAGGACAGGATAGCAATGGGACAGCACAAGCCTAAGCTGCAAGCCGCCTTGAAGTGCCTCAAAAGCAATCAGTAGCCTGGAAACTTGTCCGAATGCCGACCTTGCTGAGGCCGTCGAAGGAAGCAGTCACAAGAACCGACGCCTGTCAGGGCTCTGGAGCGCCAACCACCCTGCAACTTCACAAAATGCATGCCTTCTTGATTTCACCGTAACAAGCATCCAAAAGGCATGAGTCATCGTACCTGAAAATCCGTGCCTGAAATCCTTGTGCTGATGATAAGAGGCGTGTGTAGGACAAAGAGTGACCGAGCCTGAGAGTCCAAGCAGATTCCCGTGACCACCTGGGTGAAGCTGGAGGAGTGGCTCAATATTGGGAGTTCGGGGTTCAGGGTCCGCAAATCCAAGATAGTACACACTCAAACCCCTTAACATTACCACCTCAAGCCTCTACAGCCCTGAGCTTCAAAAAAGAATCTGACGCTGTGCCGCATCGCAACCTCACGGGGCGGAAATGCAGGTTGTCCCTAGGAAAACCATGATTCACAAAGAGGCATTCCTCTCTAAAACCTCCCGGGACTTGGGCTTCTGGCATTCTGGACAAGGTCTTCGGGGAGGGGGGGGGCACCTTGGAGTGGATGTCGGGCAGATCGTGTAAGGTTCGGCCAGTCATCGCCAAATCCCAAACCTCGGCCACATCTGGGGTTCCTGGGGTTCACTCTTCGGGTCACAGGACTTGCACTGCTCATAGATCCAAAGGGCTAACGCTCACGAAAGCTGGCGACGACGAAGCTAGTGTTTGGGCGGTCTTAGGTTTAAGAGTTTAAGATCGGGATTGTTTCAGATGCAATCGTGTACACCTGCACACCTACTCTACACGCACTCTACACACGCCTACACGTGCACATGGTATTCCTAGTGGTAGATAGAGTCAGATAGAACAAGCTGGTAGCCAAGCATGCTTGTGGTGATGAGGTAAAGACAGCAACTGGTCAGGATTCCGGGTGTGCAGTGCGCCTCAGTCGGACTGATCCGCCCGCCAAGTTGCTCTGCAGGCCCAAAAACACGGAGCCCTTCTTCCGACATGGGCAATAACGAAAAACCAGAATCCGTCCAACAGGGTCGCATTCCCATCCAGACCTTGTCTTCAAAACTACGCCTGCCATCGAAGTTGTGGAAGAGGCGCACATGTAACGCTAAACAGTCACTGCGGGCACTTTTCAGCCAGCCAACCCCGGCAGGCGCCATTCAAAAGATTTACTTCGATCAAGCCGCCTCGAACTAACCAGACTGGACCGTCCTTTCCCCATTTCGAAGAAGCAACTAAGGTCTGGAGGTTGATCTCGTATGCTTGCACGAAAGACAGGTCAAAAGGCTATGTGCCAAACTGCCTATCACATCCCCAAACATCCCCAAAATGTCCATCATTTTATGAACCCCGAAGGGCAAACCGATGTAAATCGATGCAGCTTAGGGGACAGGTCCTTTCAAGCGCATGCATCTCAAACACCTAAGCCGATGCTGACACTAAGCTATTTGCGGTCCGTCCTGCCCCCCCCCCCCCCCCGGCCCCAGTTGGAAGCTTATCCGCAGAGATGTTCACAAACAAGCTCGATGGAACAACTACGATTGAGCAAGGGGATATATCTCGATCTTATGCTCGGTGGCCCTTCCGTGCTTGTGCCCAAACGTGACAACAACTCAAAAACAAGGACATCTACTCCAACTCTGTCCGACATGTAGGCTCTGTGGGCGGTGTTTTCTCGCACCTACATGCTTGTGCCCAGTGTGAGCTCCCGCCAAAACAAGGCATTTCCGGCATACTCGGTGAGATTCTCTGCAGAGATGCTACGGAGGACAATCCATGGATAATATACACAATGATGGAAAGCTTTAAAACATGAAGTCACTGCACCTTCACCGACGTTCCGCCGGCCGAAGCGAAGAGGGCGGCGCCAGGAAATGCAACGCCGGCCTCGTGCAGGGGATCCCGCACTTTGGATGTCGAGAGCTTCAGGGTCGGCTGGTCACTCAAAGCTTCAGAGGAGTTGCGTCGATCGGGCTGTTTGCAGTGCCAAGCACCAAGAATGCAACGGAGAGCCGGTGCGGGCCACCAGCCCGCACCCAGCCCCCAGCCAAATTGCAACACAGACCTAGTGCGGGCCACCAGCCCGCACCAAGCTACCAAGCCCCAGCCAGAGACCTGGTGCGGGCCACCAACCCGCACCAAGCCCATACCAAGCCCCAGCCAAATTTTCGACAGAGACCTGCCAGCCCGCACCAAGCCCCAGCCAAATTGTAACAGAGACCTGGTGCGGGCCACCAACCCGCACCAAGCCCATACCAAGCCCCAGCCAAATTTTCGACAGAGACCTGGTGCGGGCCACCAGCCCGCACTAAGCCCTAGCCGAATTGTAACAGAGACCTGGCGCGGGCCACCAGCCCGCGCCAAGCCCAAACCTGTAAAAATTTTCGACAGAGACCTGGTGCGGGCCACCAGCCCGTACGAAGCCCCAGCCAAATTGCAACGGAGACCTGGTGCGTGCCACCAGCCCGCGCCAAGCCCATACCAAGCCCCAGCCAAATTTTCGACAGAGATCTGGTGGCCCGCACCAAGCCCCAGCCAAATTGTAAGAGAGACTTGGTGCGGGCCACCAGCCCGCACCAAGCCCATACCAAGCCCCAGCCAAATCTTCGACAGAGACCTGGTGCGGGCCACCAGCCCGCACCAAGCCCCAGCCAAATTTTCGACAGACACCTAGTGCGCACCAAGCCCCGGCCAAATTGTAACAGAGGCCTGGCGCGGGCCACCAGCCCGCGCCAAGCCCGTACGAAGCCCCAGCCGAATTTTCGACAAAGACCTGGTGCGGGCCACCAGCCCGCACCAAGCCCCAGCCGAATTGTAACAGTGACCTGGCGCGGGCCACCAGCCCGCACCAAGCCCCAGCCAAATTGTAGCCCCAGCCAAATTGTCGACAAAGACCTGGTGCAGCCCGCACCAAGCCCCAGCCAAATTGTAACAAAACTTGTGGCGAGCCAAATTGTAACAAAGACCTGGTGCGGGCCACCAGCCCGCACCAAGCCCATACCAAGCCCCAGCCAAATTTCGACAGAGGCCCGCACCAGGCCCCAGCCCAAGTGTAACAGAGACCTGGTGCGGGCCACCAGCGTGCACCAAGCCCATACCCAGCCCCAGCCAAATTTTCGACAGAGACCTGGTGCGGGGCACCAGCCCGCACCAAGCCCATACCAAGCCCCAGCCAATTTTTGAACAGAGACCTGGCGCAGCGGGCCACCAGCCCGCACCAAGCCCCAGCCAAATTGCAACAGAGACTCTGGTCGGGCCACCAGCCCGCACCAAGCCCATACCAAGCCCCAGCCAAATTTTCGACAGAGACCTGGCGCGGGCCACCAGCCCGCACCAAGCCCAGCCAAATTGAAACAGAGACTTTGGTGCGGGGCATCAGTTTGCATTAAGCCCATACAAAGCCCCAGCCAATTTCTGGACAGAGACCTGGTGCGGGCCACCAACCCGCACCAAGCCCAAGCCAAATTGTAACAGAGAGAGACCTGGCGCGGGCCACCAGCCCGCACCAAGCGTAACAGAGACCCTGGTGCGGGCCACCAGCCCGCACCAAGCCCATACCAAGCCCCAGCCAATTTCTGGACAGAAACCAGGCGCGGGCCACCAGCCCGCACCAAGCCCCAGCCAAATTGTAACAGAGACCCTGGTGCGGGCCACCAGCCCGCACCAAGCCCATACCAAGCCCCAGCCAATTTCTGGACAGAGACCTGGTGCGGGCCACCAGCCCGCACCAAGCCCCAGCCAAATTGTAACAGAGAAAGACCTGGTGCGGGCCACCAGCCCGCACCAAGCCCCAGCCAAATTGTAACAGAGACCCTGGTGCGGGCCACCAGCCCGCACCAAGCCCATACCAACCCCAGCCAATTTCTGGACAAAGACCTGGAGCGGGCCACCAGCCCGCACCAAGCCCCAGCCAAATTGTAACAGAGACCCTGGTGCGGGCCACCAGCCCGCACCAAGCCCATACCAAGCCCCAGCCAATTTCTGGACCTGGCGCGGGCCACCAGCCCGCACCAAGCCCCAGCCAAAACAGAGACCCTGGTGCGGGCCACCAGCCCGCACCAAGCCCATACCAAGCCCCAGCCAATGTCTGGACAGAAACCAGGCGCGGGCCACAGCCCGCACCAAGCCCCAGCCAAATTGTAACAGAGACCCAAGCCCATACCAAGCCCTTTCTGGACAGAGACCTGGTGCGGGCCACCATCCCGCACCAAGCCCCAGCCAAATTGTAACAGAGACCCTGGTGCGGGCCACCAGCCCGCACCACGCCCATACCAAGCCCCAGCCAATTTCTGGACAGAAACCTGGCGCGGGCCACCAGCCCGCACCAAGCCCCAGCCAAAACAGAGACCCTGGTGCGGGCCACCAGCCCGCACCACGCCCATACCAAGCCCCAGCCAATTTCTGGACAAAGACCTGAAGCGGGCCACCAGCCCGCACCAAGCCCCAGCCAAATTGTAACAGAGACCCTGGTGCGGGCCACCAGCCCGCACCAAGCCCATACCAAGCCCCAGCCAATTTCTGGACAGAGACCTGGTGCGGGCCACCAGCCCGCACCAAGCCCCAGCCACATCCGCCAAATTGTAACAGAGACCCTGGTGCGGGCCACCAGCCCGCACCGCAGGCTCTTTCAACGATGTCTCCAAAATACGTATGGTGATGCAGTGCCGAGAAGTGGGGCCCATGGGGATTCTAAGAAAAACTGAACCTTCAAAGGTTGAAGCCCGTGTGTAGCATCAGTTTGAAATGCAGTCATTGCCTCGACAGGGTGGCCGTGCGAGACGCTGATGGCAGCTTTGGCCTGCGAAAGGACGGAGATCAGAGCTCAGGGCTGGTAACACGAGGTTTCAAAAGCGACGTTCCGAGGGTTTTAACGGGCCACCCGCAGGCTTGGGGGGATTTGGAGATACTGCGGGCAGCCGCATTCTCGAGCGTTGGCAGTTGCATCCCTGGCTTTTCTGTAAAGTCTCAAGGTTCCTCAAGGTTTTCGGGATTCATCGGGAATCCAGAGAGGCTGCCACCCTAGACTTTTCAGTGAACTGCCCAAAGACCCTTTTTCAGATACATCCCTGACTGGCGACATGTCTCAGTGAGCCCCCCCTCCCACCAGAAAACCCGCGTGGTTCTGTCTACGACTGTCGGCTTGCGTCCTGTTCTAGCGTTGCTTCTAGGGCAGAGGGTTTAGAGTTTAGTGTTTGGCGTTGAGGGCCTGAGGGTTCAGAGGGCCTGAGGGTTCAGACCAGAGAGGCGGCAGGGCTTCGGATTTCTATGGGAAGTTTGTTCCCCGTTCCGTCACGCTTCCGGGTTGAGATGTTTTCGTAGCGTTGAGGCTCCCGAGATCTCCCCAACCTTCCGTACCCTCCATGTGGACCCTTTCATTGCTTTGGGGGCTCTTTGGGGAGTTGGGAAAATCTACTGAAGGGGATTCCTACAAACCACGCGGCCCAATGCGGAACAAGCTGCGCTCCCGATCAACGGATGAAAGCAGTGAAAAGCGACCTACCCCTCACCCCACACTCGACTGTAACAACCTTTCTTCTGTTTCTTGTCATCCCAAGGACACCTTCTCGACGTCGGGCCCCTCCTTTGAGGGACTGCGTGCATCCCAGAGTTTCACACACTTGTCGTACCCGGCCTGTCACGCACATTTGGCCAGAATTGTGAGGTATGGGTCTTGCCACTGAAACTCTGCAACCCGACCGAAGCAAAGAGACGGTGCCGGCTGTGCCGTGATCCAGGAGTCTGCACCCACGGGGCCCGCTGAAAGAACTTTCCTGAGAGTGTAGGGCTCTGCAGAGTTCAGGCTGTAAGTTTCGTACGGTATCGGGCTTCAGCCCACGTGAAGCCTTGCTCAAGGTCTGAGGCAGCGCGAAACGGAAATCTTTGCGAGCTTTAGCGCGACTAGATTCGGGCAGACTTGGGCGCTATCAAAGTTGTTTGCACTATGTGCCGTGGCCATGTGTTTTGCAGTCACTACTGCACAACAATCCCCAGCAGGAGGTACTCACATCATTGCTCTTGGAAAGGAAGCTCGGAAGCAGGTTTTGGGGCCTTGTGAAGAAAAGGAGACTCCACCCGAAACAGCGACAAGCCACAAAGATACCTCTACACCCTTCCAGAGGAAATGCCTCCACCTTGACACAGTAAGGCTCAGGGTTCCTTGAAGGCCATCTTGCCACCAAAACCCAGTAATCAGAGGGCACCCACGTACGATAACCTGCCATGAAGTGCCGAAGCTGGCGGTGCCCCTCAAAAGCTCGCTTTCGCCAGTACCAAGACCTAGACTTTCCATCAGCCCTCCGTTCAAGGCAGGGGCTTGGTTTCGGCTATCCGATTATCCCTTTCCTCACCCACTCCCCCGATCCCGATCCTCAAAACAGAAATTCCCACAATCACGTCCCGGCTTCAGCGAGTCAGTGTGGGCATCCACCTGGGGGCATTGGGGCTTTAGGGCTGCGGGGGTGCAATCTGGGGCTTTGGGGAAGGGGCAAGATACTTCTTATGGTATGTTTTTCACGACTCTTGTTGCGCGAAATAAAGTGTAGCGAGTGAAAACCTTAAGGGAACCTTGATTTTGTTGTTCCTTGTCATGTCAGTATTTCGCGCCTGTCTTGGTTCGTTCGCTCACCCTCTCGCCTTATCAAATGGAAAAGGTGTCAGAATTTGGGTTTAGGAGGTTCAGAGATAGCAGGTGTTTTTCGCGGGTGTGAGATGCCGCGAAGACAAAGCTCAGGAGTCATCCCAATTGCGGGGGCAGATTCGCACAAACCCAAATCCCTCTACTCAAGCAACAGGACACAGTGCAGCAACTTGCCCAGTTGGAGGATCTGCAGGGCTTCAGAACTTGCATGCCGACCTGAACACCGGGAAATGAGCATCGAGGCTCTAAACCCTTGGCCCCGCCGTGTGCAGCAGCTCGGAGGTTGCCACGTCCCAAAGCCGCAGCTTTCCGTCCTTTTCGCGGGGGGGGGGGGGGGGGGGGGGGGGGGGGGGGGGGTAAACTTAGGCGAAACTTCTCGAAATCCGGGCCAAAACAAGGTCGTGTTGGGGCTTGGGGGTCTAGCAACAAGGTGTAGGTCATTGGTCAAATGGAACATGAGAGGGTTGTGGGCTGTGACTGCAACCCGACGGGTACTTGGGCTAGTTGGGACAGCGAACTGGTTCTCTGCAGACCTGTCGAACTGCTTGCCATGGGTCCCTGCTGCCGGTCGCGACGCGACTCTTGTCCGACTCCGCGAAGGCTGCACCTCACAGGCGCAGGGCCAGGGATCTTTGATCCTTGGAGTTTCTTAAGGCATCTTGAAACGTGATTTGAAGATTGCTGATGAAACAAAACTCCTCTGGTGATTCACGTGCTCCTCATTTAAAGCCCTGCCTTGCAGAAGCTGAATGTTGAACACAACTAAGGCAGGGCCCAGCCCTAGGCTCTTTCGGGGCAAAAGGTCATCAACATGGTCATCAACATTCACCCCAAACCCTCAACCCGCAACCCCAAATCAAGGCCCGGGCATGTCACAGCATCGCCGTGCCCACGCAGCCTCTGCGGAATCGACTTGCTTTGGCACAAAAAAACTGCCGGGCCCTGCAAGCAGAACATGCTTAGCAAAAACCGAGTAACCGCGAACCCTCAAACATTGAGTCATAAAGCCCCAGGCCCTGATTGGTCGACACCTCCGGAGGATGGACCGGGTCTCCATCTCAATGACGGCACAAGACCCACTGGCCTGGCATCAGCGGATCAATGAGAAGTGCTAAGGCTGTGGACTTAGGGCACGTAACTTTCGCGGCTGGGTGCTTTGGGCTTGAGACTAAGGGCGCAACTTGCACTCCCCACAGCTGAAGGGCGTACAGAGGTCCCGTCACCAAACCTGTATCGGCCGGCAGCCCCTAACCTCGGCACAGGTGGCGCCTCACCAGCAAGCATCAGCTTGCCGTCGTCTCGCCAGGCCGCGCACTGCGTAAGGTCCTCAAGAGATTAGATTTTAAGATCCTTTAAGGCTCCAGCTTTGGTGTTGAGTTCGGCAGCTTAGGAATTAGGGTTGGATCCCTTCAGATATTTAGGGTTTAATCGGTCGAATAGTTCTGGGTTTTTTGGTGCTACCCCAGGGCATGGGGCTCTCAAAAAATCGGCCGGGAAGTTGCACAAAGCCTGGGCGAAGCTCTCATAGCAAAAGCAGGCTTCAGTCGAAAGTGTTCTCACCCAACGGTCTTGTTTAGGCTTCTATAGACAACTTCACAGGCCCCCGAAACAATGATCTGAAAACTTGGGGGCGGGGGGCGAGCGGGGGCGAGGGGGGGTTCTGGATGTCGCTCTTAAGTGTAAGCGATTGCTCAGGATTTAGATTCGATCGAGGTTTCAGAGATAGTTCATGTTAAGCCTCTATGCCCTCAGTCAGAGTCCAAATCTTAGGGCAGGCAGGTCTCTCGGTATTCGAGTCCCTGTGGTGCTTGAATGCTTGCTCAGCAGATCCCGACAGCTGTAGCCTTTTACTGAGTATGACAATCGCTTCCATTATCACGCGCTGCTTTCGAGCTTCGGGATTCAATATTCTAAGGCCCGGACTTACACAGAACTGTGAAAGAGAAGCCCACGCCGGCCGACTGTCCTTGAACTTGGAGATGGAGTTAACCTCCTCGAGGTTGCCATCCTTCAAAAAGAACTGAGTTCAGGGGCAGGGTCAGCTTTCTCTCAACACCCGTAGGCGTAGCCATAGCCCTAGCTCAAGACACAAATCCGAAACTTAAGTGCTCTGGGACTTTATGGCTGCCAGCTGCCCGTCCTTGGATGGGGCACTCTGCCACAAGCCAACTTTCCTTGATGTTTGGAGGTTCATGGAGCACATGTTTGAAGTTTAACACCGCAGTCAACAAGCCTAATTAGGGTGTCCAACTAGGTTGGCTACGCTACCGCATTTTCAAAGTCAATGTCAGCCTTCAAGCAGGGCCTGGTTATTTAGGCATAGCTAGTTTTGGGCGTATATGCTTTAGGATTTAGGACTCAATAGATCAATATGCGTGCTTTACAGTGTCCAAGAATCGTGAGCCTTCACCCTGATGTATAGCCACGTCCAAGAACTCAAACACCACAAGCAGGCCTCAAGCGAAACCAAAACCACCCCCCCTGACCTGATGGATCAAGTGGCGTGCCGCTAACAACAGCCAGCTTGTGCGGAGAGGTTGGTGAGAAGGCGACACCAACAACCCGCCGGGCCTGCCGTGGAACTCCCGCAGAGGGCTTGAGAGGCACACAGATGCACATGGGGCACCCGGGCAGCCTTTTGATGGAGGCGGTGGACAATTCAGAACCATCGCTCAACCTCTTCTAGGACAAACCCCCCCCCCCAAAAAAAAAACACATTTTTGTCTTTTGCTCAGGGCTTCCAAGATCTGAGCAACCTTGCCCTGTGACCCCCCGTTGACCTCCCTAAGACACCCCCTCTGAAGGGGTTCCCACACTCCCCAGGGAGCCGCGTCAAACCGTGCCTTTGGCTTTGGGTTTGCCTGCTGATGCCGTTCGACAAAATGAGACGTGGGATCTGGGACAGGACTCGAAAGCCCGGGCGGTGTAGGTGTAGGATAGGTTTAGGGCTCTAGGTTGTGGGCCGAAGGCCTGGTCTTTTTTCTTTCTTGGCGCTCCTATGCTATCCCCAAACCTGCTGCGGTCGGCGGCTTGAGCCAGAGGCCCTTGAGTGCTTACCTTCCAGAAGCTTGACCGGGGGATTCAGACTTGGAATGCTGGGAAAGTGTTAGTTGCGGCCAGACAAACACTCCCCTTGAAGCGCAGGCGCCTAAGGTTTTCGGATGTGCAGAGCGATGCACAGAGCGCCTCCTGCTTCTTGAAGGTCACCTTGTATGCCTTGTATGACTTCGCCTGGCGGGTTTTAATGATGAAACGGTGAGGTTTCTGGTCAGATCTAAACGAGGTCTGGGGTTGAGGCGTTGCTCTTGTGGACCCTACTTTGACCTTAGTTCAGGCTTTAGGCCCGGGTGTGCCGACCTCAGGGGCCAACTCCTCCACCCGGCGGGGCTGCAGGAGCGGTCGCACCTCCAACCTTGAAGCGCACCCAAAGATGATACAATCGAGGGTTTTTGAGGTCCTGTGATCAGCTCTTTGAGATTGACGGAAAAAAGGAGTTTCGGTTCGGGATTTCCTCGATTTTGTGAGCCTCGGCACGTGCTTGAAAGAGCCTTCCTGCACATGGAACATGTCTAAAACGGATTAGAATCCAGCCCCCGGATCCCAAACCAAAACGCATCAAAAAGAGCCCCCTGAGGTTGACGCGGTTCGCCCATTGGGTTGGATCACGGCGGACACACGCGCATGGCACAGATGCAAGGGGAGAGGGTGGCAGAGGCAAGCGGTTGGGGTCGGGGGGCAGGTGGCTATGGGTCGGCTAGGTGGGTCGAGGTCGAGGGCTGCGGGCTGAAGGACTTTGGATCACAACCGAAGACACAAAAAAAGATTGACTACTTTGACTTCTGCTGGGGAATGCGAACGTAAACCCTAAGCCTCAAACATGAAATGAAAAGGTGAAAATGCTGGATGGCAGATCTCGCGGCACTTCAAGATTGGAGCATGGTCATTTATGGTCATTTCGCATTCACATATTATTCTTGGGACCCAGGAACGCTGTGCAAAGATGCATGTTGCTTCTGATTCCTCGCGATGTTGGTAAACCGCACAAAAGAATGAGACAGCTCAGACTCAGTTACACGGGCCCACGGGCTCACTGCAACTTGCGAGCTGTGCGGATCTGTACGGATCTATACACATGCCGAGGGGAATCCCGGAACTTCGGAGTTGACCCGGAGTCGATGCCCCAACTGCCCCTGAAGCCTCGTACCCAGAGCCCCTGCCCAGGAACCCTGATTGGAGGCATTTTTCACGGTGTGGACTTTCCGCGTTTGGGGGGTTCTAGGATGTTCCGGGGCTCGACGCCAATGATCTCGCGCAAGAGCTTGCAGGAGTAGGGCTTGGGAACTTTTGGGTGCCTTCAAGACCAAAGACCTTATGAGCCTTCGAGTGCAGGATCTTGGGTGCTGGGGCATGGCATAAGGGGTGTTGACCGTTTATTTGATTCAAGGTCGAGGTTTTAGAGTTCAGAAGAAGTCCAAAGCCAGACGTCTGCCGGCAAGCCCCTCTTTTTGTCAGAGGCGTTGCAGAGGGTCCTCTTCCTCCGGGGGCCCCTCCCACTCCAGCGGTGACCTGTTTCGGTAGGACTCAAAGGTAGGGCGTTCTGGGCTGAGTTCTTTGTCAAATAGTCAATCTCACCAGAATTCTTAGTAACGGGTATTCAAGAGCGCTAAGGTTTTGGAGTTGGGAAGATTGGTTCGCGTCATTGGGGCTTCGATTCCGATGGGGTCGCTGTCGAGAAAAATATGACAAATCTGCAATTCCTATGTTTCTAGTCGAAGCCAACCGGGTATTCAAAAAAAAGATTGAAGGGGCCCAGGTTTTCGGACTGCACTGCTCCCGAGTCGCTGCGTTAAGCATTTGCTGCCTGAAGGCTCTGCGGGTGCGGATTTGAGAGTGTAGGGATGCGAGAAAGCTAAGACTCTAAAACCACAAAACTCGGAAACCCATTCCAGACCCCAAGCCGGACACTTTAGACCCAAACCTCAACCCTGTGCTAGGGTTGCGCACACGAGTGCTTAAATTTGCGGATGCATCGGCCACAGAGCATGTGGATTGCTGCGGTGACTCTTGCATCTAAGAAAATCACCCACTGAACACCTCGATGGGCCTCAAGTAATAAGACGACTGAAGCCAGATCCCACCTGCCAAACAGCCCGCCAAGCTCCGGCAGTGCCAAGTGCCTCAGGCTGAGGCGACTGAAGGTTGATTACGGTGTTTCGGTAGGTGTTTAGCTGCTTTTGTGGAGGGGGGGAAGGGGGGGTGTTGACGGAAACATCCAGCGGACCGTGCGCACCTAGCAAACCAGGAGAGGGAGAGAGAGGCCACAGAGAGGGGGAGAGAGGGGGAGAGAGGGAGAGAGAGGGGGAGAGAGAGAGACAGAGGAAGACGGAGGGGAGGGAGAGGAGGAGAAAGAGAGAGCACGCGCAATGACCCGGGGCCAATGTGCTGTGCTCATTTTTGGTGTCCTCCCCGGACAGAGCGCTTTGCGGTGCATGGCTCTCCTTCATTTGAGGTTGCGAGGCGTCCTCCGCTTCATCCCTCACGCTTAACGAACCCTACTACTGGCCCATCACACCTTAAGCCTTCTAAGCTCGCAAGCCTCGTGAACCCTCGAATCGTCTCGAACCTCGAACCTCGAAGCCACTAGTGCAGCCGGCGGGCAAAGTCATCCGAGTTGAAGGCAAGATCTTCCGCGCTAGAAGGCTCTCCTTCAGGTGCTCCTCCGCAAGCTTTGGATGAAGGCTTACTCCCTAAAGTACCAAACTCCGAAAACCATTTGCACCTTTTTGGAGCTGAGGCTTCAGAGCCAAGGGTGCAGGCTTGGACGCTGGCTGGGGAGCTGCTTGGGGTTCAGTGTGTTGCTGTTGGACACATCACGCGTATCACCTTGGTCACCTTCACCAGCGACAGTGCTTGCGCCACTTGGCAACTCAAACACGTCCGTGGTCATGAAGGTGGATTTCATCAGGGAACAAGCAAGGCATTGGAAGAAACTTCACGAACCCTCACATAGCTTCAAACCTTTTCTGCAGGCTGCTGCGCGATGAAGCCTTCTACATCCTGCGGCAGCTTGGCTGCAACCCCCCAGCTCCTGCTGGGTGCCGCGTGCTCCGCGGCGCCTTCAAAAGTTCGGGGGGAGGGAGAGGGAAGAGGTAAGTTTGGAGTTCTGGAGGCTTTTCAGAGGTGTGGGTTTTTGAGGTTCAGAATCGCGAGTTGAAGTAGGGTCTTGGGGCTCGCTTTCACCCTGAACCCCTAGAGCTCTAGACCCCAAGTGCCCCAAAAAACTCGATACCAACAAACCGAAGGCCCTGGGTCAAATCCTGCCCCAGGGAGACGCCTGCGAGGCGTCCTAGCTTCTCCAACCGCAGCCTGGGGCTTCCCGATCCAGGAGCTTGATGGGCCGAGGTGGGGGGCTTTTGTTTTGGGTTCGTTTCTCGGGGCCGACTGTCTTCTCATATAAAAAAAAACCCAACTACATTTGCTCGGCGCTGTCACTTCAAGAACGTTTGAGGTACGGCATGCAGCGTTCAGGCCAAGGCGAGGCTTCTCCAACAGGACCTTTGCTACCGTCAATAACATCGTATTTGGCCTGTTCGCAGGCTCAGACGGTAAGTAACAGCATTTCGGCCTGTTCGGAGGCTGTCCAGCATCGTACATCCCCCGAAGCCGAGGCCTCCTCCAGGGCCTGTGACCTACCTCTCTGGAGCCCCCTTTGCGCCCCGCACTACTTCCTGTGCACCTCCTCTGTGGAATGCGGGCCGGAACGCTATGGAGCCAAATCATGCAAAGTGACACGGATTGGTCCCTAAACTTGCTGGTCCTTCGATGGACCCATGGCCACCCCCTGGACCTTTTGTGGACCTGCTATGGACCTCCTTTGGAACCCCTCGCCCTGCAGGCGGCCTACTATATGGGGCGGGGGTGAGGAGGGGTTGGTTGGCGCGGGCTGAAGTTTCTCCTGCAGCGCGTGTTGTCCCAGTGCTGCACCACTCTCAACCCTCACCTTGTGGGCCCCTGAAATTTGCCAGACACCCGTTGTCACAAGCGCCAAGACGATGAGCAAACATGCAGAAAGCCAGCATGGATTGAGCACCGAAACAGCCACTGGATGCTGAACTTCAGATGCCCAAATCTGGCAGATGAAAACAAGGTGAATTAGGGAGCCCTAACAGCACCCAACACCTCGTGACTCGTGACTCCTCATTCAAATCCCAACACGCATCTGCTTGTTCTGCTCGTGTGGCCTCAAGGAGCCGGCAGCGTTTGTCGCGCTCGACTTGCAAGACCTGGCCGCTGAAAATCTATAATCTTCATCAGACGTCATTCCTACCAGTAGCTGCATTCTGAGCAGTGCCTTGTGCAGAGTTGTTCGGACATGTTTGGCCGGATCTTGGAACCCGTTCGCCCAGTAAGGAGTTGAACTTCATTGTGAAACTTCGTTGCTACTTCCGAACCCACCGCCATCCACTGCCCAGACTCCTCCGTGGGGGGCCTCCTCCAGCAGCTGCAGCCGTCTGAACATGCTTTGATTCCTTGGTTACTCGTATAGTCTTTGGGCACCAGGCTGAGTCTGACATTCTGCGCTACGTGCGACGCAAACGCTTACAGCGGGTTCCTTAAAATTTGCACTCCGTACATTGTAGGTCACACAGGCACTCATGAACATGGCAGCAAGATACACACAGAACTGTACCAAGTCTGCAGACACGCACACACGCGATTCACATGCACAGGGCTGAGCGAGGGGTAGACACATCGCACAAGCAAACTCATATTCACAAAAAAACATCTCATCATTCATCGGTGCTGCGTGAATTGAATTGAGCCCCGAGCATCAAAACAAAGCAATGCTTTGGTGATCTTTGGTGATGATGCCCTGACGATCTATAGTGCTGATGCCGATGATGACGACGATGATGGTTATGCTGACATGATGATGACGATGAGGATGAGAAGAAGGAGGAGGAGGGGAGGAGGACAAGGCTGTTGACGACCGAAGCCATCGTAACTATCGCAACTGTGCACCGCAACCTCGGCCGCAACATCATCTGGCAGTTGCCGTGCCTAACCCCGGCGAAGTACTTTCGACATGCTCTGCTCCCTCGCACATCCCCATCAATCTCCTCAGTCTCCTGGCGTATCTGCGATCAAGGCCAACACTGGCTATGACGTGCGAGACCCATGTAGCCGCTTGTAGCCATCAGCAGAAGCTCAGCGATGCGAGTGGCCAAGTACATGGCAATATCGGAACGATTTGTGTTCCGCAGTTGATTGCTCCAACGCGTAATTGCGTGCTCGGAAAGACCGTGGAAATCGCTTGTCCAATGCATCCCAGATTCAGAGTCTGCTGCTGCGCAAGCCTCGCGCATGTGAAGGGCTTGGGGGTTCGAGCAAGCCTGGAAGCGAGACCCAGCACCTCAAACCCTCATCCCTCGATCGAGACATGTCAGAGGTTTGGATGGCAAGCTCCGAACCGGGCTCCCTGAATCACACAAGCCAGTCCTAATCATACAACCACCTGACTTTCTTACAACGAAGGACCGTGAAGGACCACTGCACACCCTCATCTAGCGGAACCCGAAACCCCCCTTATCCCTTCGGCGCCTCGTCTCAAGTTCGGCGATCCTCTGATCCACCCTGGTCTTGTGCAGCTTCA